TCTTCAAGATATACCTTCACCATGACCACTCCACATATTCTACACTCCCATGCTAGTCCACGCCACTAATCTCTCTCTACTGTAACACTGTAATACAGCTGTCTTGTGTTCACCCTTGCCTCAGTCAACTCTCAACACAACAAACAGAAATTCTGTTAAAAAAAATAATCGGGGCTGGAGATGTGGCTTAAGCGGTAGCGTGCTTGCCTGGCATGCGTGCTTGCCTGGCATGCGTGCCGCCCGGGTTCGATCCTCAGCACCACATACAAACAAAGATATTGTGTCTGCCGAAAACTAAAAAAATAAATATTAAAAAGATTCTCTCTCTCTCTCCCCCTTAAAAAAAATAATCACGGAAGCTTCCAAAGGAGGACTTGCCAGCAGTATCAAGAACACACCAGAGGCTTTCTGAATAAACTACCACATTCTCCTTCTCCATCACCTCAGTTTAAAACACCAAATAATGTCATTTAAACTGTCACCAGCGTTTATTGAGACTTTTAATGTTGAAAAGAAGCAAAACTTAAGTGAAAATCAGGAAAGAGAGAAACCAAGATCAGATGAAGGGATTCAATCAGTATCTAAATGACAAAATGAAGAAGCTAATAATACAGAAACAATGGGAAGAACAATGAGAATTTCTCAAACAAAAGTGGAAAGAAACAAAACTCAATACAAAGAAATTAGAGAAACAGTGTCAACTGGCATCAAACTCACATGGAAATGACAGAAAACGTGTTGGAAGACATGCTGTTCATAGTATACTCCGCCTTATCATCAACTGTAGTTCAGAACTACAGTTCTGATTTGATGGCATGAAAGGACATTAAGAAACTTCATGAGCTATCCAACAATGCTATGCAGAAAACCAACGAGCACTGCATCCTGTGAAGTTTTACCTGACAAGCCATGAAGGCCAACTGAAAAAGAACATAGATGTAAATGACAAAGGACAGGACAACTGGAAGGATATTTACATCAACCAGAGCATTATAATGAACTCATAATAAAAAGAACCCAATTTTCAGATTCACCCAATATACTAAAGGAATTAGATGATCAAAGACATAGGTGATTGGAGCATTAGTGGATCACAACCATCATAAGGGATTCACATACAAACAAGCATCAGAATTTGGAAGTGATCAGGTATGGCTCCCCCTTCAAAATTTTGTGAAGAAAAGTTTTGGCAGTTAATCATGCATTTGAGATTATTCTGGGATACCTGGAAACAAGAAACTGGCAAGAAGCATTTTTCACTCTCTTACCCCAAAGGAAAGGAGCTTTTCCTGTAGACAAGCAGTCTGCCATGGTTGAAGGTGAATCAGACAGTGATTCCAGTGAAGGAAATATAGCAAGAATGAACCAGAGTCACCACATAAAGACAAACAGCAGGATAAGGTACATAGCACTGAATGTACAATGCAATCCGCACCACACTAGCATTACCCATAATAGGGAATAATACCACAAACACCAATGTTCTCACTACCTTGAGAAAATTATCACGTCTTTGAAGCCCTCTGTAAATCCTTCCTCTTTAGAATAACTACCATCCTGAATTTTATATTTACCCTTCTTTTGAAGTTTATTTAGTTAAACAATATATGCTAAATGTACTTTTATTTGTCCATGATTTTTATTCAGTGTGGTGTAAAGCTACAGCTGACTCATTTTCACTGCTGTATGGTATTCCATTATATCATTAAAGTACAATGTATCCATCTATTTTACTACCAATAAATTTCTTGGGTCCTGGATTTTTGCTATTACAAACTGTGTAGTGAATGGAGTATAATTTCTCATTCTTTTGGTTGTACATGATGTGGGATCTCACCGGTCATATAGTTTTATATATACATAGGGTAATAAAATCTGATTCATTCTTCTATCCTTCCTATCCTTATGCCCCCTCCCTTCCTTCACTCCCCTCTACCTAATCTAAAGCAACTCTATTTTTCCCTAGCCTCCCCATTTATTGTGAATTAGCCATTCACATATCAGAGAAAACGTTCAATCTTTGTTTTYTTGAGATTGGCTTATTTTGCTTAGTATGATATTTTCCAACTCCATCCATTTACTGCAATAATTTCATTCTTCTTTAAGTTTGAGTAATTTTCCATCATATGTGTGTGTGTATATATATATATATATATATATATATATATATATCACATTTTATTTACCTATTCATCTGTTGAAAGGTACCTAGGTTGGCTCCATAGTTCAGCTGTTGTGTGTTGAGCTGCTATAAACATTGATATGGCTGTATCACTGTAATATGCTGATTTTAAGTCTTTGGGGTACAAATGGAGAAGTGGTATAGCTGGGTCAAATGGTGGTTCCATTCCAAGTTTTCTGAGGAAGCTCCATACTGTTTTCCATAATGGTTACACCAATTTGTAATTCCCACCAGCATTGTATGGGTGTACCTTTTCCCTCATATTCTCGCTCCCCTATGTTTTTTTTTTAAAGAATTTCTTCTCTAATTCAAAGGTTTAAAAGGTCATGTATTCTAAATATTTAGTTTTGTCTTTAACAACCAAGTACACTGTCCACTTGGAGTGTGTGAAGTAGAATAAGGAGTCTAGTTTTAACTTTTTCATATGGATAATAACTATAACTGTCCCAGTATAATTTCGTTAAAAAGTCTCCCTCCCCACTAGTTCTCAATGCCAGCACTGTCATATATCAAAGTTCTATAAATATTAAGTATTTTTGTAAAATATCAAATTCATTGGTCTGTTTATCCAGCTCCATTAATACCATGCTATCTTATTCAAATTTCTGTTTTGTTGTTCTTTAGAAGTTTTCTGTGATTATTGACCTTATGCTCTTGCACACAAAATTTAGGATCAATCTTTCAACTTAGAGAAAAAAATTAGAATTTTAAAAAAAGAAAAATTTACAATATTATATTTTTCTAATCATGTACAGACATCTCTTAATTTTAAAAATTCTTTTTACACATTAAAAAATCCTAATAAACATTTTCTTAACAAAGGTACTGCACAGTTTTACTAGATGAATATTAATACATTATATAACCCCAACATTAAAATTCATACATTAACACACACACTCAAGATTGAATCCTATGTGGTTTGCCACTTAGTTACAACCCTAGACATTTGTGTGTGTGTGTGTGTGTGTGTGTGTGTGTGTGTGTGTGTGTTGCTGAGGATTGAACCCATGGCAAGGCAAGCACTCCACCAATTGAGCTATATCCCCAACCCTCCCCATTCCTTTTTTATTTTTGAGATAAGGCCTAAATTATTGAGGCTGGCCTTAAACTTATAATCCTCCCGACTTAGCCTTCCAAATAGTAGGGGTTACAGGAGTGTGCCACAATGCCTGGCTGGTAATTTATATTTTTGATGCTCTTATTAATCATAGCTTTTTGAAAATTCCTTTTTAACTGTTGGTAAAGTACAGAAACACAATGCATTTGTTTACAGAACTTTCATAACTATTATCTGTGTAGATTATTACTTCTTTAATCCATTAATATTTCTAAATGTGTATTTGATAGCTTTTTTTTTCCGTTAAAGTTTTGGCACTTATTTTCTAAAAATGTGGGTTTTTTTCAAAAAAAGATACTTCAGAATTATTGAAGTTTCCATTGTGGCTTAATGTGTCTTTAACTGTATTAAAATTTTTCATGTGTTCATCTGGTATGGGATCCAGTTCCATTTGTATGTATAAAATCAAGTTCCAAAGTAATTTCTATACCACAACTAATTTTAGTTAATAAGTATGATTATGGTTTAACATTCAATTTAATTCAGAATTAGTAACTCTACAATCCTAGGTGAATATTATTATTCCTTTTTGTCAAAACAGGACTTGATGTTCAAAGGGCAATTGATTCAAATTCTTGTGACCAACAGTAATTGAACTTTGACCCACTTTAGTTTGTTTACATCATAAGTCTTCTAGGCCAGAGACTACAGCTATTCTTTATTCCACCTCTCCTTTATTTCCCAATGTCTCTTAAGACATGGGGTTTTAAAGTTTTTATACCCCAGACTCTCTCTGATTCATCTCCTTTATTTCCATTTTTACTGAAATCAATAATCAAAGAATATAAACACCAATGATAAAATGCCAGTGTTATTGCAAAGTTTACACCCTTTCACTCACATTACTTCATTTTATTACCAAGGCTAACTAGAACAGGCACAAAAGAAAACTTGTTCTCAAAGTTTACGTAATATATTTAAAATTCCCACGTAATAAGTGGCAGATCAAGTTTTTTTTTTTTGAAGTTAGGAGTCTTTCTATAGTGCCCTATTTATAAAAATACAATTTTATTTATTTTTTTTAGTGGTAGATGAACACAATACCTTTATTTTGTTTAGTTTTTTTAATGTGGTGCTGGGGATCAAACCCAATACCTCATGCATGCTAGGCTAGCACTCTACCACTGAGCCACAACCCCAGCCCTAAAAGTACAATTTTAAAATAAAGTTTTAAAAAGTTTAAAACGGTACTCTCTGGATCAGCTCTTCAAGTTTCATTTCCTGGGTTCAGAAACTGAGGCCCAAAGTGGAGCTATAACTTGCCAAGTGAAGACATTAGTAGCTGTTGTAGCCTCCAGGTGGTACCCCTAACTCTGCCCCCAAGAAATATGGCCAATTAAATGTAATTACACCGGCTTCTCAAAAAAAAAAAAAAAAAAAAAAAAGTCTTATGGTTGTGGCACAAAGGCCAGAGAAAGTAACTAAATTTCTCACTGTACTTCCGGCCTCTACTACTTCAGTGAGTAAATCCTTGAGTCACATAATTTCAACCTTGAACAAAATTTCCAGTGGGCAATGTAATGGCAAATGTCATGATGCTTCCGGTACTGCCCTCGAATGGGGACCAGGCCGAATTGGAATTGTGGAACAGACAATAAGCAGTCCCTGCCTGCAGGATGCGTCACTGCAGAAAAAGAAATTGGAAGGGCCAAAGGAAAGAAAGCATAATGCACAGATCTGTTCCTGCTGCATCGATACCTGTACTGAGTAACGGTCAACGTAGCTCCGGGCTGTGCCCCGAAGCCAGGCAAATGACGGCTTAGGTAAGCATCCAAGGACTTGCAGTCTAACTGGTGCTGGGGCAGCACTTCTGCGGTCTCGGGCTCGTGGGCAGCATCCGTCCCCATGACTGTCGCCGAGCTGCAAGCCACAGACTAGACCCGGACAGGTTCTGGAGTGCCAAGGTTCCCCACAGGTTGCAGCAACTACACTTCAGAACTTGGGGGCGAGGCCGGGCGGGGCCTGGCTCTAGCCAATCATACACCTTAGGGCTCCATTAAGGCGTTACGCCGGCCCGCTGAATCTGGCTACTTGAGAAATACCGAAAGCACCCATGTGTGCTCAAATTTTTAAATTTCTGTCAGTGCCAGCGTTGGAGGGGCTCGGTTTTAAAGAAAGTAAAACCATAGTTATAGCTGCGAGCGAACAAAGATGTAGGAGTCGCTCCCAGACGACTTACTGCACCTGCCTGCGGAAGACCTCTAGGGTCCGGTTCAGAAAAGAGACCGTCAGGTCCTCGAGCCCAGAAATAAAAGATCCGGGTGTTTTCTCCTAGCCACTTAGTTAAAAGGCAACGTCGCCGTCCTCTTGCTCCAGGTACTTATAACCCCAGTCCTGTGGCAGCTTGTTATAGCAGATGTAGCGAAGAAAGAACTCAAAAGAGGCGAGTTTTTGCTGAGGGGAGCGATGAGAGCGACGCACCGGAAGCGGTACCTTGGAAGGTCTTCAGGAGCAGCGGAGACGTGTCGGTCTGGGAAGCGCCGGGGGCCCTTCGCTAGGTCTGTGGGCGTGGAAGGTGACGGCTAGTTTCCCAGCCGAGCAGCGTGGGGCGGCGGCGGCGGCGAAAGCCGGGGCTGGGAGGTTTGGCCGCGGGGGTCCCAGCCATGGCCGAGTCCGTGGAGCGGCTGCAGCAGCGGATACTGGAACTGGAGCGGGAACTTGCCCAGGAGAGAAGTCGGCGGGCCCTGGGTGACGGCGACGGAGCGGGCGGCCGGGCCCGCATTGAGAAGATGAGCTCAGAGGTGGTGGATTCCAATCCCTACAGGTGACTGCGTCGCGAGTCGGAGGGGGGCGAGGTCCCGGTCTCGGTGGGGTGAGAAGGGTGCCCCTTCCCGCTAGCTCGGCCTCCCGCCACCCTTTTCCTGGTCTGGGGTCCCGTTCCTAAATGCGCAAGGGCACTGTTTAGGGATGGTGGGAAGACGTTGTTTCTCGGTTTTAAAAACCCAAGCGAGCCTTCCATATGGTACTGCTCCTGCTCTCGCGGCGAACGTGCATTCAGCTTCCTGTAGCTCTTGCCTCTAATTACTCCTCCTCACCTCGCTTAGGATTAAGAACATTCAGAAGACATCAAACGTAAAGCCCGCCTAGCCTAAACTTGGAGATTCATAAAGGCCTTTCAATGTAATTTAGATGGAGAAGGGCGAAGGAGTTCCAAAGGTATCTCAGGCCTTTCTGCTTTACAAGACCTGCTGTTCCTCTCCTTTCCTCGGGAAGCTTGTCAGTTCAGTGCAGTGGTTAAGGGTAAGAACTATACAGCCGCGCTAATGGGTTTTACCCCCATTTTATAGATGAGAGAATCGAGGCTTAGAGGGCTCTCAAGTTGTTCAGTGTAAGGCCTGAACTGGGGCTGGGGCGGTAACCTCAGTGTATAGCACATTCCTGAAGCCCTGCCCCCCACCCAAAATAATAATGCCCAAAGCCTGAACTGGCATTAGGTTTCACTTAATCCAAAATTCACATGAAATTATCTCCCCTGTAAAAGTAAATAAGCCATTAAGTAGTGTGGCTAAAAACTGGGTCGTCTTAACGTGAAATAGAAAAGAGCTCTTTTTATTTTTTTTTTCCTTTAAAGAACATGAGTGTTTTGATGCTTTTTTTTTTTTAAAGGTTTTTGTTGTTTGTGACATTATAAAGCCTCAGTGGCAGTTTTAAGGTGCACTGTTTAACTGTATTGGTAAATATTAAGGGTTAATGTTCCAAAATCTTTAGAGATTGAATGAGCATGAACTGTTATCTCTAATCAGAATGAGTGCAAACTATTCCATTTGTCATATTGTATCTTTTTTTTTTGTGGTGCTGGGGATTGAAGCCAGGGTCTTGTGTATGTGAGGGAGGCCTGCAGTCTACCAACTGAGCTATATCCCCAGCCCTGGGTCATATATTTAAAGTCATTTTTCAGACATTATTTTTATGAAAGGCCCATTTAGTGTGGCCCAAATAATCAAAAATAAAACTTTCAGAACTCAAGTCTAAACATTTAGTACTCTGTATCACATGGATACCATTTGACTTTATTAAAATTGATACAGAGGAGATATCTATTGATATCCAGATTGTTTATTGAAATGAAATTATACATGAAAATTGATCAGTCTTAACTTTTTAAATTGTTCATTCAGCTCAAACATTTACTGAGTCCTCCCTTTTATCTCTAGCCATCTTTGGCATTATTTACATTTTTATGAGCAGTACACTATGGATGCAAAGTGGATATGGTCTTTTCCCTCCAGAATTTACTAGATGAGTGTGAGATACATGGAAAAGTAAATATGCAGATACAGTACAAGTTAAAAAATTATGAAAGGGATAGTACAGGGTAATTGGAAAATATAGGAAATGACTTTGAATATGTTCAACACCATTTTAATTATATCAAATGATACATAATAAATATAAAGTCCTTGACTCTCAAAGTTCTTTTGCTTTAGTTGGGAAACTAAATGGATGTGGAATAATGGTCATACAACACAAGTTGTATGAATTGCATGAATTGAATAAGCATGAACTGTTATCTCTAATCAGAATGAGTGCAAACTGTTCCATTTGTCATATTTCAGTATGTTTGAATTTTACAAATGAACACTTGGAAATTTTCCCTCCAAGATAAAATGAAATGTGTTTTTTTTTTTTTTTTTTTTTTTTTTTTGTGGTGCTGGGGATTTAATCCAAGGCCTTGTGTATGTGAGGGAGGCGGGCACTCTACCAACTGAGCTCTATCCCCATATGGTATAGAATATGATTATAAGCACATGGAGAAACTGGAGAGGCAAGCAGAAGTGTTAATTAGAACACCTAGTTTCAAACCAAAGTTCAGAAACTCAGCTCTAAATATTGTTTGCCAGTTAGCTGACTGTAGGCAGTAAATTATTCTAATTTTTTTTTGGTCTTAATTATCCTGTTTTTTTTCCTGGTCTGGGGTCCAGCCCAGGGAGGTGCAATGCATTTTTTCTCTGAGGTTATTTGTAAAATTAAAGAGAGCATGAAGATAAAGATGGCAGACCACAGGAACTGACTTTCACTTCTGCCCACTCCCAGTAAACAAACAGTGAAAAAAATTTAAAAAAGGGTAATCCCACATTCAGAAAATAGAAGGTTTCCATTAATAATTGGGGGGAGAGGAGTGGGTTCCTATACTTGAAGATTATAGTGACACAATTTTGGAAACTTTGATGGATGAAGGATGACTGATTTAACAGATTCTAAGAAGTTGAATCTTAAACCTGCATCCCAACTTACACCACACAATTGCCCCAGGAGGCTCAGAAATGGGTACAGGTATTCCTAGAAAGTCTTTTGAAAAAAACAGAACCCAAGGACCCTTACTCCACTGGGGGTAGCTGAGCTAATGCCCCTTCCCACCAGGAGAAGAGATTGGAGATTTATTTATTGAAGAGAGTAAAATAGAGGATTTCTGCTAATAACTGGGCAGGTATTGATCTCAGCTGCACATTAGAACAGAGAAGTAGCTTTTAAATACATATATATTATTTCACAGGCTATACCAGGAGAAGGGTACATGAGTGTCTGTTTTTAAAGCTACTAAGTAATTTAGTTCCATCTGGGAAAAAAAAAAAACAACTGAAAGATTCCTCTTATTTTAAAAGAGGAGTAATGATTGAATTTCAGTGTTTATTTTATGTAATGATGTATGCCTGTTTATATCACTGTTAACTAATCAATTGTAGCTCTAAAACATTTTCTTTTCTTTGTTTTAAGCCGCCTGATGGCCTTGAAACGAATGGGAATTGTAAGCGACTATGAGGTATGATAACCCTTTCCAAGTTTTTGAAGACAATTTCAGGAAATGAAAATAATTTCTGTGACAAATGAAGAACTAATAACCAGACCATATGTGATTTTGCATTTCACAGAAAATCCGTACCTTTGCTGTAGCAATAGTAGGTGTTGGTGGAGTTGGTAGTGTGACGGCTGAAATGTTGACAAGATGTGGCATTGGTAAGGTAAAAATATTTCTCTTTGCCTGTCTCATAGGGAACTCCTCATTTTTGGAGCAAATCAGGTACAAGTTAGGACTTTTTTTCTTACTACTAATGGTCTACTGATTTGTTGTGTATTTATTCAGATTGTTCTTTCCATCCAAAAGATTGAGATATATCCCTATCCAAACAAAAACTGATATTATTGATAATTAAGCAAGGACTGTTACAGAAACTTTTTTGTTTGGGGTACTACATAAACAATTTGAACTTAGGTGTTTTAGATATAGATATTTAGGAAAGGAGACTATTAAGTTGATAAAGTATGAGTGAAACACTGAAACATATATAAATTATTTTATTAAACACAATTTAAATGACAAATAGGCTCTCTATCCTGTGTATTTCTTACTCTTGAATTTGTACTAGAAAATATTCAGATTTTTTTAATCCATAGTTTAAAAATTTTTTAAAAAATATTTATTTGGATTATGTGTAGGAAAGAAAAGTAAACTTATACCAGAATTCAGTCCATCAGTCTTCGATTTATAAAACCAAGGTCTATGATGTTAGATACATAGTAATTGAATAGATAAGCTTTCCACAGTTATATAATTGTGAAAAACCTTTTAGTTTTTCATTTTGATAAGGCAAATATTTTCCCATATAGTTTACCAGTACTTTGTAATGTGTTGGTGTACCTCAAATTCTTAAAGCGGTTTCAGATTTGGTACTCATTCATCAATACAAAAACACCATCAAAATTTTGATATTTTTTAAGAGGTTTACAAAGGCAGGCCAAAAATTGCTTATAGCTGACTTTAAGTACATGTTTGGTGAAGATATTAGAGATCAGTGGGGGAGATCCATGGTTCACAAGTTTGTTATCAGAAGCACTTGAAAAGCTTATGAAAACACAGACTGCCAGACCCTGTATCAGTGGTTCTGATTCTGTTGGTATGAGGTACATTGTCATTTTAACACCTTCTCAGGTGATCCTAATGATGTTCAAGGGACAAACTAAACTTTGAGAATTGCTGGAGTCTTGCTAGTACTCTAAGTCTGGTCCTAAGTAGTAGCCTCAGCATCACCTGGGAGCTTGTTAGAAATGAAGATTTTCAGCCTTTGGGCAAATGCTCTAGTTGCCTCATCTTTAAGATGAGGATAATAGTACCTGTGTATTTAGCTCACATAAGTGTTCAGTGAATTCACATATGGCACCTAATGTCTTAGTTAACTAATGTCATCATCAGACTCTTAAAGCAATCAAATGTAGGTCCATTAGTTTGCTATTTGTTAATTTTGGTTTTTTGGAATGTTTTTCATTGAAATAAATTTTTATTTTAGTTACTCCTCTTTGACTATGACAAAGTAGAACTGGCCAATATGAACAGACTTTTCTTCCAGCCTCATCAAGCAGGACTGAGTAAAGTTCAAGCAGCAGAACATACTTTAAGGTAAATGGAATTACAGTTAAGGACTATATTCAGTGAAATCTTATTTTATAAATTTGGTATGAGTTAACCTAATACATAGTCCTAAATTTTTTTCTATACAAATGCAGATTTTTACTTACTCTTGGACTTGGGTTGACGAACTTTTTCTGTATGTGGATAGATGGTACATATTTTAGTCTTTGAGGTCCTTATGGTCTCTGCAACTGCTGAACTATAGAGTTGTAGTGTGATAATAGCCACAGATAACACAAAAGTGAATAGGCATATATGTGCTCCAATAAAACTTCATTTTTGGACTCTGGAATTTGAATTTCATCATTTTCATGTCATTAGATATTATTCCTTTGACTTTTTTCTCAAATGTTTAAAAATTGTTCTTAACTTGAAGGCTGTACAAAAACAGGTGGTACACCAGATTTGACCAATGGGCCATAGTGTGTGAACCCCTATACAAAATTGAATATGTGACAAATAAGCTATTTTGTTAGGCTGAGTGTAGCTACCAGAAGTAGTAAAGATGTAATTCCCCGCACATAGATTGATGCAGGTTGGGGTGAGAATTAAAAAAAAAAAAAAAAAAAAAAAAAAGAGGTGGAAGAGGACTTTTGATTTTCTCTGAATAGCTTGAATTCCAAATTCTCTAACTTACTCTTTAGCTCTTTCTGTGTTTTCTTAGTGTAGCTACTAATAGTCTTTATAATCATTCCCTTTTTTCCTCTTAGGAACATTAATCCTGATGTTCTTTTTGAAGTACATAACTATAATATAACCACAATGGAAAACTTTCAACATTTCATGGATAGAATAAGGTAACATTTTATTTATGAGTGTTTTGTAAAAAATACCCAGCCCAGTTAAGCAAGTTTTAGACAAATCCATTGATTAATTTAGAAACTTGGCAGATTAATATGTTTTTGTGTTTATTAAAATAGTAATTTTTATATATTAAACGGCAGGAGGATTGCAAGTTTGAGGCCAGCCTCAGCAATATAGTGTGACCCTAAGCAACTTAGCGAGACCCTGTCTCAAAATAAAAAATAAAATAAAATGTGGTGGGGATGTGGCTCCAGGTTTAAGTACTCCTGGGTTCAATCCCTGGTACCAAAAATAAACAAATAAATAAATAAATAAAATACTTTGATATTTACAATGATTTAGTAAAGGACCCTCAATTTAAATTTTGTGTTGTAGATTATACTTCTCTCTGAAATAGTTTTCTTCAGAGATTGTCAGAATACCTCCAAAATAATTAATTGTATTCAATTAGCTTTCATTACATTGATATTTTAGTGAAGCATGAACAAGATTTTAAAAGCTAATATGGAAACAGTTGTGAACAGATTTCATATTTCCTTCATCCTTTTACCACAATGGTATCATTGATTTTTATATTCAAATAGTTACTTAATGTTTCATATATACAGGATATTTAATATTAAATACTTATTGATGTTATACTCAAAAATATAATGAAAGAAGAAAACTGACTGAACAATAAAGTCTAATTAGAATATATTTTCTATTTTGATATTTTTTCAAATAAAATTTGTTTTCTTTGACTAGTAATGGTGGGTTAGAAGAAGGAAATCCTGTTGATCTAGTTCTTAGCTGTGTGGACAATTTTGAAGCTCGGATGGCAATAAATACAGTGAGTTTTTCTGTTACGTAAGATGTAATACTCATGGATTTAACTATATTCTTTTATGATCCCTAGTGTATGATTAGTATACCATCCCCATCTCAAAAATAATTGTGATTTTGAGCCCTTTTTTGTGCTTATTTGTAATGTTCTCTTGTCTACTTTTAAAATTTATAATAGTTGTGGGAAGTGTCTAGCTTTGTTGGCATGACAGACATTTCAAGCATCCCACTCATGCTTATCAGAAGCAAGGACTTTTAACTTTTCAATTAATATTTTAGATTTTTTATTTTTGAAATTGATATAAATTTTTATATTAACCTGGCAAGATACCTAATAAACTGTGGTTTCATTTCATAAATAGGTATTTACCAATTCTTTAATACTGATAGTTTATTCTTTAAATAAAAATGGTAATTGCCAAGGGATTCAATTATTTGCAGCTTCACTCCTTTTTTTCTTAAAAATTAATTTTTAGAAACCCTTGGTGATTCATTGAGTAAGCTATAACACTTCACAACAAGAATTTATAGTAAACTACTTGCTTTTTTGTTTTCTTCCTTGTTTTCACTTATTTCTATTTAAGGCTTGTAATGAACTTGGACAAACATGGATGGAATCTGGGGTCAGTGAAAATGCAGTTTCGGGGCATATACAGCTTATAATTCCCGGAGAATCTGCTTGTTTTGCGGTATGCATTATTTGTCTTAGATCTTTTTACATTGTTAGGCACTAGAGTCCTTAGGGGAATTGAAAACGTGTTATAATTCAAAGAAAAAACAAACTTGAATATAATGGAATGCTATTTGAAACATTCATATTTTTCCTTCTTTCTTTTAAAATTGTTTGCCTTTTTTCCTTTTTCATGCAGTGTGCACCACCACTTGTAGTTGCTGCAAATATTGATGAAAAGACTCTTAAACGAGAAGGCGTTTGTGCAGCCAGTCTTCCTACCACTATGGGAGTGGTGGCAGGGATCTTGGTACAAAATGTGTTAAAGTAAGTGAGGGCTAATTTTTTTGAATAGTTTTATATGCTTTTGATAAATATATTTTGTTAAGATTTCAAAATTGAAATTATCAGCCAAGTATTTAATTTTTTAAAATTTAGTTTTAAATGTTTTTATTTTATATATGTATATGTGTACTTTTAATCCATGTATATTTACATTAATTTGAATACATTAACATAACATTAATATGTGTGTGTATGAATGTCCATTTCTCTGATAAGCAAAAAATGCATATTTCATTTTAATTTTTATTCATTTGTTTAAAAAAGGGTTAGGCACATACGTTTCTGTGAGTTATCTTTTAATATCCTTTACCCTGTTTTTTGTTTTGTTGTATATTGAAAACATGCATTTGCAAATATTTTTCCTTTTGTTCCTTTTGTTTTATGCATGATTTTTCTCCTATACAGAAGATTTTAAAGGGAATCACATTTGATGGGCAGGGGAACACAAAAGAACTTTATGGGTTATTGGAAATATTCTGTATCTTGATCTGGTAGTATTTACATGAAGATATAAAATATTTTATTTACTATACATTCACAATTGTGTACTTCACAGTAAATTATATACAAATTTTAATTAATTATATTTAATACCATGTCTCAAGATTTTAAAAAACACTTCTCTCACATTTTGATATCTCTGAAATCAGTATGTGTCTTAAAGTTTAAAAACTGTATAAAGTGCCAGCATTTTTGCCGGGTTTCTGTTCTCGTGACTGAAAGGCTCAGGGGTCACTCCAGTTAAACTGGGCTAACTGGGCTGCACAAAATAACCACACAAGAGACACAAATACCTTTCTCTTTGGGGTTGCTGTGACAGTTCCTCTGACCTTAAGGGTCCGCAGAAAGAGAGAGAGAGGAGAAGCTATTCAAATGAGGCAAGGGGTCAGGTTTCAAGGGGCTGAGTCTATCTTCATGATGTCCACTGTCAGCAGGTTGACTGACACCTGGGTAGGCCACACTCAAGGGCACAGTAAGAGAAGGGGACACACACAGGCACTTCCCTGGAAGATTCTATCCAAAACCGGGCAAGGGGTTATATTACAAAGGAACAGGTGAGCATAGCTTCACCCATGGGGCTGTAGCAAGACACACCCATGCATGAGACACCGACCCTCGCACCCAAGAAGGGTGCCACATTTCTGTGACTGAGAGCCTCAGCACCCAGCCGGGGAGTGTAACTCAGTCACATGTAAGGTTGGCCTCCCACACATTTTATTTTTAGTAGAGGTTCAAAAATTAATAATGCATTCTTTAGGTGATGAAATGGAGTAATCTTTTCTTTCCTTCATTAATTCAGCAAATATTCAAGCATCTACTTACGAAGTAGGCTCTGTCAACAAGATAGAAAATTTCTGTTTCTGAGTTGCATATTGGAAAAATCATTACGAACTCCAAAATAATTTCTAAAAAATTCACTTACTTTCTTTTAGTACTTTTTAATGGGTTTTTCTTCCTTTAAGTCTATTTTTTTTTTCTAGGTTTCTATTAAATTTTGGTACTGTTAGTTTTTACCTTGGATACAATGCAATGCAAGATTTTTTTCCTACTATGTCCATGAAGCCAAATCCTCAATGCGATGATAAAAATTGCAGGAAGCAGCAGGAAGAATACAAGGTATATGTCAAATGTGTCAGAATGTCTGAGGGATCTTATTGCATAGAATAGTAACTTTAAYAGTCAAACAAAAGGAACAGATTTGGATTCTGGAGTTTTATAGTTTTAATTTTATAATTTTAATTTATTCATCATATTTATTAAAAATAAAGATCCTTTTTTGTTTGTGATACCATAAAACTCTGTCTGAATTCTTGATTAATGCTTCAGAGAACTGATAATGATTGAAAACACTGGTATTATTTGATTTCTACAGAAAAAGGTAGCATTATTGCCCAAACCGGAGACTGTTCAAGAAGAGGAAGAGATAATACATGAGGATAATGAGTGGGGTAAGAATTCTTTTATAAATTGAAGACATACATCCAACAAAATCTTCTGTGATAGAGAATGCAAGGTTACACACATTTTGAATAATTATTGCTCATGAAGTTTCTTCAGAACTCTTACAGAATCTATTTTAATTCAACAGGTATTGAGCTGGTATCTGAGGTTTCAGAAGAGGAATTGAAAAATTCTTCAGGTCCAGTTCCTGACTTACCTGAAGGAATTACAGTGGCATATACAATTCCAAAAAAGGTACTTTTAAAATCTGATTTATCCATAAGTAAATATAAGATAAAATGTATATATATCTTCTTTTATCTTTATTCTAATTAGTAATGCCAATACAATAATTCCTGTTTTGGGTATTTTACACCATAGACATTAAGATGTGAGAAAGAAGTATTCAGTGTTAAAATGGAGTTGTGCACAGTCTATGTTAAACTTTGAAAACACTGACATAAAATGGTTCGTTCACTCATTAATAGGTCATGCATAATAGATTTTGATTAAATGAAAATATGATTTTTGTATATTCAGAGCTTTAGCCACAATACCATTTAAAAATACTTCAGTAGACAGTCTAAGTACATTTCTCTAAAGAAGACATTCAAATGGCCAATATAAATATGAAAAATTGCTCAACATCATTAAACATCAGGGTAATGCAAATCAAAACCACAATGAGGTTATCACCTTTATCAAAAAGATAACACATTCTCAAAAGGATTTGCAGAAAATGGAACCTTTACTATTGGTGGAGATATAAATTAGTAGATGCATATGGAAAATGGCATGAAGTTCCTCAAAAATTAAAAGTAGAACAATTTTAAAAATAGAATGTTTGTGGAACATCGGTTTAACTACTGGGTGTATATCTAAAGAAATGTAATCTTATGTTGAAGAGACATCTATACCTCTGTATTTATTGCAGCACTGTTGACAGCAGTTAAGAAATGAACTCCAGTTAAGTGTTTATTGACTGATTAATGGATAAAGAAAAGTAAGGCGTATATGTACTGTGGAACACTATTCAGTCTTAAAGGATATTTTTGTTATTTGTGACAACATGGATGGAACTAGGGGTCATTATGTTTAGTGAAATAAACCAGGCACAGAATGACAGCTATGTCACTCATGTAGAATCTTAAAAAATTAATCGTGTATATATTGAGAATTAAATTGTGCTTACCAGAGGCTGGGGGAAAAATAGGGGAAGTTGGTTAATAGCTACTGAGTTATTGTTAGAGAGTAGAAATAAGTTCTGGTATCCTGTTTCACAGTAGTATGACTTAGATAATGTACTGAACTCTGTATTTCAGAAAGCTAAAAGAAATGATTTTTTAAATGTTTTTACCACAAAGAAATGATAAGTGTTTGATAAGATAAGCGAACCCTGATTATATAGTATATACATGTATCAAAACATCACATGGTACTCCATAAATACATATAATTTTTAGGTCAATTAAAATATATGCTTGAGATATCAAGAATACGAAAATTACTGCCTCATAAATCAAATGCTGGTGGGGAAAGTAAAGAACTGTCCTAAAAATTGCAAGGCATGGGATGGAGCTATAACTCAGTGACAGAGCGCTTGCCTAGCATGTGTTAGGCACTGGGCTTGATCTTTAGCATCAGATAAAAATAAAAGCATTCTATCTAAACTATAAAAAAAAAAAGATTTTTTAAAATTACAAGCCATATTTATTAGAGTAAATTAATAAACTTGTTGAGCATGGTTAAAGCTTACTGATTCCTAAGCATAAAGAATTCAGTAAGGCTATTTTTTTCACTATATTTTCCTCATTTGTTGACAGCAAGACGACTGTGTACCTGAAGTAACAGTAGAAGATTCTGGAGAAAGCTTGGAAGACCTCATGGCCAAGATGAAGAATATATAGATTATGGACTGGCATATATTTTACTTTTTCTGTGTTTAAGCCTATTCTTTTGAAATTAAAAAAAATTCAAAACTGAAAAAACTTAGGGCAAGATTAACTAATGTATGTAATCTTCACTAAATTGTTATACTTTATTAAAATACTGTAGCTGTTGCTCTTTGCTCCCCTTTCCAACTAAATCTAATAGCTGTCCTAAAAGGTTTGCCTTCAGAGTACTATTGTAGCATATCCACCAAAATATCTTGGCCTTTTGAAGGTTGGGGAAGGATCAATCTGATTCTATAGTCTTTATTTCTTTCTAGTAATCCCTTGTAGTCTGTGAAAAGGACATAGACAATAAAGTAGTACAAACAAAAGGAGGACAGGTGCAGCATATTGATCAGAGCTGGCAAGTGTCTGTCACTGTGTTTGGTTCTACAAGAAAATTGCCCAGAATTACTGTCTTGACCAACAGTGATTTTTAAATACTTAACCCATAAAATGAAATTATCCTCTCCAGTGTTTTTGGATTTAATACAAGCTGCAATGTAATCATTGGAGAAGTTTAAAAGTTGTGAATTATATACTCAAAACAAGACAAAGGCAAGTAAATGGAACCTGTCTTCATGGGTAGGTAGATAAAGGTACTTTCAGGAAAGTCAAATTTTATTTTATTCTGCACTGACCATGGAAAAGAAATCATTGTTATCTGTGGCATATGTATCTTGAGTTTCTGCACCTTATTGGAAAACAAGGCATAAATTTAGACTGATATCCACATTATACCTACCAAATAGGCTACTTCCAAATATTTCATTTAAATTTGATACTTAAGGTAGTGAGATATTGACAAGGGTTGTCCTGGCCAGTAAATATGAAAGAAGAGTTTTAAATTACCTCCACAATGACTAATATATACTGCTTCCTTGGAGGAGGCTCATTTCCTGATTGTGACTACTAAATCGTAAATTGATATAAACTGGTTTTCTCTGGAGTTACATACAAATAGCAAAGTTTTAGCATTGGTTGGAGTAAATTCAAAATGGTTTGGAGACCAATAAACAACATGCAAGTGTAACCATTGCCAGTAGGCTGTTACTATGCTAATATCTTATTTTGATGATTGTTACTTTGAAGATATGAATGTCCAGGTTGAATCAGTTGTATCTACAGGGGGAAAATGTTAGTAAAAAGTTAAAAGTACATTCCCTACTTGTAAAATAAAGTTCTAAAAACTGATTTCAGAAATATATTCAGTATATTAGTTTTGCGATTCTGGAATTACACTGTGATTTTCATTATTATAGTAAAATGAGGAAATAGGAGGATAGTTTTTTAAAAAATATTTTTAGTTATAGATGGATACAGTATCTTATTTCATTTATTCATTTTTTTTAATGTGGTGCTGAGGATGGAACCTAGTGTCTCACATGTGCGAGGCAAGCGCTCTGCCACTGAGCCACAACCCCAGCCCCAGGAGGATGGTTTTTCTAGCCTTAAAACTTCCTTATGTTGCCTTGGTGAGTCTTTTACCATTAAAAAAAAAAAAAAAATAGTGCATTGAATTATAGCATAGCTCTTCTGGTTACTAAAGATGTTTTGGATTTTTAAAATGAAATGTGGTCTTTCTACAATAATTCTGCTTCAGAAACTGGTACATAAATTTGGTAAGGTCTTACTTATAAATTACTAAGTTTGATTTGATAAAATATTTAGATTTCACCATCTGAAGACCTTTATCTGGTCTTATACTGGTACAGCATCACGGCTGATGTCTTAACTACACCAAATTTTACTTATCTTATTTTAATTTGGGGGGGAGGGTTCTAATACCTTTCATAAACTATTGGATTATTTTATCAGAAAAAATATGGTAAACGGTATCTTTTGCAACTTGGAGTGAATGCTTTCTTGACAGTCTGTGTGCCATGAAAACTTGTGTAAGTAGGCAGCCAATTATGAGGAACTGATCATGACAGAATTTTGCATTAAATAAACCCGGAGTATTTGGTTAGACTTGAAGACACTAGAGATTCTAATTCGAAAGAGGGAAAAGAAGTAACAATACTACTGCCTTAGCAGACTCTAACAAATCACTCATTCATTTCTTTATTATCATCATTAATGGAAAGTTAATATATGGTCTGCTCAGATTTTTTTTATGTAGTAGAGAATGTATGTATTATGGTTTTCTTATAAATACTCCCTGGATACTTAGCCCATCCAATACAGAAAAGTCTGTACTTTTTAAGAATATATTTAAGGAAGCTTTGACTCCTCAGATCATGTTTTTTTTCTGTTTTGTTTTTCCTATTTCATTTTCATTGATGGATGAATTATGAATAGCAAAATTTGGTTCCTACCTATTCAGTTTTATGATTGAGTTGTTTGAAAGCTATCTTTTCTACTGTCAAAGTATAAATGTGAATATAATATTCCTATTGGAGAACCTCAAATACACATACACACACACAAGATCTCTGTTATAGCTGTGTTTATCTTAGACATTCTCATGAAAATATATGCTTGTTAGTAATACAATAAATAGATCAAAATAGTTTTTACATTTAAACTTAATTATTTTTTAAATACATAAAGTGATCATTCTCAGCCAAAATTATAATTTTTGCCATCAAGTCACTGTGAATAATAATAGACATTTTTAATATTTTTTGTATGTTTTTCAAGTTCAAATTTTGGAGAAGCAAAGAATAAACAAATATTAAGTTTTTTTTCAAGGTTTTTCCAGAATACTGGTCTCATTATTTCCTAAAGCAATTTTTTTAGGCATGTAACATAATACTTATAATGCATTACTTATATTACTAAATCAGATTTTAAGCTCCAGTAGCTAAATTCTAAAATTAATTTCTGACATTTGTGAATTCAATCATTTGTACCTTTCACAGCAAGGTGAATGATATGTTACAGTCATATTTTCTTTTCCCTCTTGTACCTCTCCCAAAAAGGGAAATAAGGATGCTTATTAAGATCCTGCCTAATTTATTTCAAATGACCACTCTAAGGCCTCAGAGTTTTACCGATGCTTCTCACACTTAAGTGCATATAAATTACCTGGGGATCAAGCTGAAATGCAGATTATGACTTAGAAGGCAGCAGAGTCTAAATATTTAATAGGATCCCAGCGTAAGCAGCAACGCCTTACAGAACATTAACCAAGACCCTTGTAGAGTCACTGAAGTTCTTCAAGTTAACCAAACTACTAAATATTGATTACATTCAAGTCTTTTTATTAGCAAATTTTCAATGTATTTCTTAAGTATACAAAATGTAGCTCTGTTATATAAACTAGAGTGGGAAAGTAAATTGTACTTTTATTTTAAACAGTGAAGTATGGTTTTTACATTTTTCCTTTACAACTAATATATATTAGAATCTCACAAATGTTAACATTGATGAAGATTTTACTGAGTATAAATACATAAGTGGTATAAATAACATCCGAATGTGGCAATATTTACAAAATCTATAAAAATATTTAATTTTTAGTATAAAAATGAATTTGAGTATGAGGTAAATGAGACAGGTTCAGCTGTTCAAGAAAGATGACAGAATGCTAGGTCCACTTTGGGGCAAGATCAAAGAATACTAAAGAATTCTAGCCTGTTATTACTGCACAGAGGACTCCAGACACTACAGATGTATATAACACAGTCATGAAAAATGCATAATGTGGAGAACACAGAAAGGAGGGTGATTGGCCTGTCAAGGTAAATGGCAGAATAAAAAAGAAAAACACAGCAATCAAGAATTCCTATGATTAATTTGAACGCAATTCAAACATTTCATAAACATGATCCCTTTATTGGTTTTCTTTGAGGTAGAAGATTAGGCCAGACCACTGCTGAGAAACAAGGAATGGCTGGAAAGGCTCAGGTGGCTCTTGAGAGACGAAAATAATCTTGGAGTTCTTGATTCCCCACCAGCTCTCCGTGAACAGAGACACATCTACTCACAATCCACTCCTCACGTAGTCTTAGAATGGGAATGTGTCTGTGCCCTTGGATCCCATACATTAGGAAAAGTAATTATTTTAATCAACTTAAACAGATAAAATTACGACTCAAAAATAGTCCAATTCCAGACAAATACCAGTTAAATCATAGAGTAGTAAAAATAAATTTTCTTACCAACATTTTAAAAAAATTTTAAATTCTAATGTTCCAAATGATAATTATTTTATCCTAAGGTATATAACTATAATTGCTGCTGTCACCTTTGTCCTTGAGGAAGAAAAACGTTAGGAGAATGAGTGGTTTTTAAGCTGAACGTGTCTCCACTTGATGAATGTCTTGAAGGAGCTTTCCCCCCCAAAAGTGATGTTTCTGCTTCTTTTATCTCCATGGCCCTTTTGTACAGTTCAGCAGCTTTTTCAAAATCTCCTTCTTCGTAGCTTTGAGAGAGAAAAAAAATGAGAACATAAGCTCCTAACAATTCTAAGTGACCTTGAGATACAGAACAAGCTGTGAACATTTGCTTCTTTCCCCCCTTTTTGCAGTGTTCATGACCAGTATTCTCTCTGTTCTGTGGACTATTTGCTTCCGTGTCTCATTCACACCATTAAGATCATATCCTAGTGCATTCAGTGAAAGTGCTCAAGGAAGTTCCTATATGCATCCTGAGATAACACAATGAGCAAGCAAAACTCAGTGTGCTTAACCGTGAATGGGCTCCAAGGATAGCAAATTGCTTGTTTTTTCCCCATTGCCAGTTAGTAGCAAAAGTAAACCATCCAATTTTCTATGATACACTCTCATTTTTGGATATGACTTTAGTTTCTCTTGGGATAGAACAGCAAAAAATCACCCCTCTTGTCTCCAAGAAAGAACATTCAGCAATAAATATTTTGTGGTGCTCTGTGATGAGTCAAAACTATTCTAAAAGAATGGGTATACCTGAGGAACGTGAAGAAGATTCTTACCTAAGCACAGCTAAGTTTTTTAATGTTTCTCCGACTCGAGGATGCATCCGACCCAGGCTATCTTCATAAATCTTTAACGCTCTTTCATATAATGGCAAAGCTTCAATGTGTTTTTTCTTATTAAAAAAAAAAAGTAACGTACACATAAACACACTGGGTTTCTGAAATTACTATTAATGCTTTTTACACTAAGTTGATCTACTTTGGTAAGCACTTTAAAATGAAATTTATCCTTCAAAAGATATGAGTAAAAAGATTAACTTATTAATATCATAAAAGGAGATGCAGTATAACAGAAAGTCATATATATAAGTTTTCAACCTGGTCTGGTAATCATTTGACCTTAACCTAACAATATAAATGCAAACTTGTTTCTTTATTACCTAGTGGGTAGATACTATAAGCTTAAAGATAATATTCTACAGACAACTGTAGGAATCTCCAGAATTTAAAAAATAAGCCTACACTCAACTTTACACTCAGGGTTTTACACTCCGAAGGGCACCATCTTACAACTCCAACTTCAATAATTTCTCAAGTATTAAAAATGGAAGCATTAAGTAGAAAATATGACCTTAAATTTTCATTAGTTCATGCTTATCTATATTTCAAACCTTGAAGACATTCATTAATAGAGTTGAAATGTAGGAACTTACCATTTGGCAATAAAGAACTGCTAAGTTCACCAAGGCCGTTGCTACGCTAGGGTGCTTTGGGCCAAAGGATTTCTGCCGAATTTCAACAGCCAACTCATACAAAGGTACGGCTTTGTCAAGTTTCCCCTAAAAAACAAAAGTATCATCTAACAAAAATATTAAGGCAATAATACTATCTGATCAGAACTTCCTCCTCAAATACAACTGTGTTTTAAACAGTAATCCTGAGGAAAAAAGTCTCAGAAGAATTTTTCTCTGATTTTAATGGTCAAGTTTGTAGATAAGTGAAAAATCTAATAGAATATGTAAGTAAAGTTATACTGAATATAAAACGATTGACAATTTGGAAAGCCCTTTAGGCTCCTTTATTATTATTCATTGTTTATAGTGAAAGAAAATATTCTAAGTAGACCTTCTTACTGAACTTATTTAGAAATGGTATCAGAATAAAAACTCACTTCTAACCAAATCACTTCCAGATTTTTCTAATTATTTCCTTCTACTGGAAAGTTGGGCAGATAGAGCAACAGTGTACCCTTATTACTAACCATCTATTCAGTGCCACCAGCACCAGCCAGGGTGCCACAAAGTCTTAAGTTTACATAACTCTACCTGTACTCATTAGAAGCAGACTTCTCTGGTGGTGTTTTGGAGAACAGATATAAAAATTTCAAACTTTGCTCCTATGGCAAAGAATGGCTATGGATGTAGGTAAAGTCAAGAAAGAGTGAAACAAAATGTTTATTTAGTCAACTATCAAGATATTTCCTGCATCCTGACAGCTGGGTGATTTGCTATGTTTATGGTGTTTTATACAACAAAGATAGTAATGGTGAGATGAGATTTTAGAACTTCTGAAATGTAATCTAAGCTTCATTTAGAATAATGAATGGATCTGTATTTGGAATATGTTTTCACAAAATCAAATCAGTACCTTAATTAAGTATGAAATAATATTTTTAAATGTATAAAACAGTTCTATAGATTAAAAATTATAATTAAAAAAACTCATATAAAATAGTCTATCCGCCAGAAGACAAAATGATTTGCTGATAGTTATTGTGGCTTCATTGGTGTATTATAAAACATGTAAGAATGGCAAGGATTACTTACTGTTTTCTTATACAAGATTGCAAGGTGCTTCACTGTATACGCCAAAGAAGGGTGATCGGGAGCCAAGGCTCGTTTCCGAATATCTAAAGCTCTTTCATAAAGCTCTTCTGCTTTTTCATACTGTTTCTTTTCATTGCACAGAGCTGCCAGATTATTCAGAGACTGGGCACAGTCTGGGTGATCTGGTCCTAGAACTCGCTCCCTCATTTCTAAGGAACGCTTCAGAAACTGGTCAGCGGTTCTAGGAACAAAATCCCAAAGTGGTTTAAACAGCTTATTCTCTGGAAGTCAGAGTCCTGAGTCCTAGTGAGGTGGAAAATTGGATCATTTTTTTTTTTAATTAGATCCAAGTTAAGGTGGAGGATTCATCTCAAAAATCCTTCCTCTCCACTCTTACTCCCCATCCCCTCCAGTCTTTTGCTTCCTGATAGTTTAAGTTCATAAAATATCTGGATGATTGCCCCATCACTTCTGCTGAAAGACAAACTCACAAATAACTTCCATAACAATTTCTTACATCTTYACAATTATTAGACCTACATCAAATAAAATATTTTGGCATTCATTCTTTCTTTTTGGAGATTATCCAAAATATTTGTTAATAGAAGAAACTTCTATGAGATGGGTTGAATATTTGTTGCATTTTTTGGGCATCCAAAGTTTTATTTATTTATTTATTTTTTATTGGTTGTTCACAACATTACAAAGCTCTTGACATATCATATTTCATACATTAGAWTCAAGTGGGTTATGAACTCCCATTTTTACCCCAAATACAGATTGCAGAATCACCTTGGTTACACATCCACATTTTTACATACTGCCATATTAGTGACTGTTGTATTCTGCTACCTTTCCTATCCTCTACTATCCCCCCTCCCCTCCCAGCACTACAAGGGATACCGCCACATCGATGTTCATAGCAGCACAATTCACAATTGCTAGACTGTGGAATCAACCCAGATGCCCTTCAATAGATGAATGGATAAAAAAAATGTGGCATTTATACACCATGGAGTATAACGCACCACTAAAAAATGACAAAATCACGGAATTTGCAGGGAAATGGATGGCACTAGAGCAGAATATGCTAAGTGAAGCTAGCCAATCACTAAAAAACAAATACCAAATGTCTTCTTTGATATAATGAGAGCAACTAAGAACAGAGCAGGGAGGAASAGCAGGAAGAAAAGATTAACATTAAACAGAGACATGAGGTGGGAGGGAAAGGGAGAGAGAAGGGAAATTGCATGGAAATGGAGGGAGACCCTCATTGTTATACAAAATTACATATAAGAGGGGAATGGGATAACAAAGTTTTAAATTTGTTAGATGTCTGTATCATATAAAGAAGTAAAAAAAATCAACAAACTTTTTTTCAAAAATTATAAATATAAATGCCATTCAACTTTTTTATGTCCAAATAAACTAATGAATAAAACTAGCAGCTATCTACCTTCTTTGATTTGTTCTTCATTAGTTCCAAGTTTATTCTGTAAGTTCTGATGACAAATATTATACAAACTCACTTTTCATAAATATATAAAATGCACTAGGGAAACTACAGAATCTTTAGTTTGGAAGCAATGTGACACAGTAAAGAAAATTCAGTTTTAAGTGTGTATATGTTCATAACCTAATATCATAAATGAAATCTGCCATGGTTTTATCAATTTTGCCTAGCTTTGGACTTGACAGTCAAAACAGCTTTGAATCAAAGAGACAAAATATTTTTAATATTAATACCATGGTACTTACTCCAGGTTATTTTGAAGATAGTAGAGAACACCCAGTTCATTGAGGGTCCGGGCATTATCAGGTGTGTCCTTACCTAAGGTAAGCTCTTCTAACTGTAGGGCCCGTCTGCGTAGAAGGGCAAATCCATACTGGGACAAACACAAAAAATTAAGACACAATCACTAAGTGCCATCTTTGATTCTGAAACCACACACTGGGGTCCTAAAAAGTCCTTTCTCCTCCTTTTCTCATTAATCTATCTGGCAATTATTTTAAATAGCACACAGAAGTAGTCTAGTGGTTATTAAGAATACATGTATTTCCACAGGGCATCACGGTCTCAAATTCATTAAAAACTATTTTGTGAAAATTATTATGAGATATTTTGGGAAAGATTATCTTAAAATGCTCCAGAAAAGATCGGAAAACAGAGATAACCTGCAGATATTTACCAACCCCACTGTTAAACACTCGAATATCAAGTTCTTAAAAAGACACATATCRTTTTACAACAAACACACCGTATTTCGATTTTATTAGCAACTCAAAAAATAAATTTTTTTGTGTGCTCTAGGAGAATTCTTTTGCATCTGAATCTAACATAAGATGCTGATTAAATCTGTTTAATCTATCATGCAAAAGAATCAAAGTCTAGCCTTCATTTGAAGCTTCCACTTTAAAATTCTACTAAGCTATAATATTTAAATATAAATAAAAAATTAAAAAAAATATTAAGAGCTTTTCTGGAAATCCCATTAAAATCTAAAACTCTTAAAAAATGTGAGATTTATGCATTTATGATATTCAGAGATCTTTTCCTTTGGTTCAAAATTCAATGTAAAGAAATCTCTCATTACCAAGTTGCCTTTTCTCCTTGTAGCTTTCTGATGAATCTTAAAGGATTTTTTCCTAAAATGTTCAGCTTGTTCATATCTTAAAAAAGAAAAAAGTATGGTAAGTCCAAAGATGTATACTCCACGTATTCTATTTCAGTGAAATGAAAGCACTCCTTAGATAGCATGAGACTTTTTTGGGAGATTAAATATAATAACATTCTAGTGATAGTCATATGCAGTTCAAAATCTTTAATGAAACTTTCATTAGGTCTAAAAAGCAATATAAATCTAATCCTCAGAGTAGTTGATATTTTGTTGTTTTTAACTGATTTAACTCATTCTGAATGTCCAAAGGGCAACTTAACTAAATAAAAGGCTAAAATAACACCTTTCTTCTGCACAGGCTAATTTTTGGTTAAATATTAATAAAATTTCACGTAGATTTGGGTGAATATTACTTGTAGAAGTGAAAAGAAAAACTTCCAATATGTCTCACATATGATGGAGGAACCTAAGTAATTTCTTTTTCTTTCTTTTTTTTTTTTAAAGAGAGAGAGAGAGAGAGAGAGAGAGAATTTTAATATTTATTTTTTAGTTCTTGGCAGACACAACATCTTTGTTGGTATGTGGTACTGAGGATCRAACCCGGGCCGCACGCATGCCAGGTGAAGGTGAGTGCGCTACCGCTTGAGCCACATCCCCAGCCCCCTAAGTAATTTCTGATAGAGGAAGCAATGTCACTCTGGGTGCCTAATTGATATGACAGTTTTTGTTGTTGTTGTTCTGGGAATTGCACCCTGGGATGCCCTACCACTGAACTACATTCCAGCCCTTTTTATTAATTATTTAAATTTTGAGACAGGGTCTTGCTAATAAGCTGCTGAGGCTGGCCTTGAACTTGCCATCCTCCTGCCTTACCCTTTGGAGTTGCTGAAATAACAAGCTTGTGCCACTGCACCTGCTGGAAAGCTTTTAAAAATCTGTTTTGTTTTCCCAGTGCTGGGGATGGAATGATGGTCCTCACATAGCCTAGGCAAGCACTTTACCACTGAGCTCTACCCTAAGCCCTGAAACCTCTTTATCATATCAGGGATTGCAAACTTTTTCTATAAAGGTGATAGTGTTTTAGGCTTTGTGAGTCCCTGGTCTCTGTTGCAACTAAGGAATTCTGCCACTGAGGAATGAAAAACACAGAGATGATATGTAAATGAAAAATGTGGCTGCATTCCAATTCCAATAAACCTTATTCACAAAACTGGACTTGGGCTGTGGTCAACAGTTTCTGCCCCTGAGTTAGCAATACACTCAAAGAGCGTAAATCCAGGATTTGAACCCAAGATCATACTCCAAAGCCCATGCTTTATCTTTTATACATCTTCAATTAGAGATGAACCTGTAGTTCTAAGCTTCTCTGTCTACCCCATGATGTTCCAGACCAAGAAATATTATTTGACATGACGTACACATGACGTACACAGGGTAAGGAAATGTACACAGCAAAGTGGGCCATGTAAGTACATTAAAACACTGTAGTTCTCTTTATGACATCAGAGAACTAGATCTTACTTGTTTTGCTTCTGGTACAAAGTTGCAAGTGCCTCCAGTTCACGAGCAGTGTGAGGATGATCTGCACCATAAGCATTTTCTGAGATTTCCAAAGCCTGTTTATACAGTTGCTCTGCATTGCCAAACTTCTTCCATTGCACGTACACACTTGCCAGTTGGTGGAGGGACTGGGCTACTCTTGGGTGATCCGGATCTAAAGCTGTCTCTCGAATTTCCAGAGACCTCTGCAAAGGCACCACAGCCTGGGGAGAAAGGTGAGAGGCTCATGTTGGTGAGGGAAAGGCTGCCAGACAGAGCTGTCACCTGATTCAACAGTAAAGAGCTCAGCACCACAGGGAAAACTGCTTCACCTCCTCGGAAGGAGAGAGTGAACATGAAAGCTGCCCGTGTCTGACTTCCTGGGGAGGTTACCTGACTGAGAAGGCCAAGATCCTTGAGAAATCGCCCCAGGGTTTCATAGAGATCTGCGAGGCAAATCATGTTCTCCTCTCCTTCGCAGTTTTTCTCATATTGCTTCAACGAGTCAAAGTATTCTGTTGCCATTGCGCTCTTGTCTTTGCCAACAAACTGCCAGTAACTCAGCAACTCAGCAAAGTGTCCTCTGTTCCAACAAATAACAGGGATTTAATGAAAAAGCAACCTTAAAAGTCCCCTCTAGAGTGAAAATCCCAGAATTCATGCCACACTTCTGACAATTCACAAGCACAGTGTAGTGAGGTCAGATCTGTCTGCAGGTGTGTACTCTTGAGCAGGCTGGCTGACCTCTCAAGTCCCATTCTCTCACTACCTGCCCTGGCTGTTGCCCTAAGGACATGTCTGACACTCTATGGTGTTGGCTGTCATCATGAATTCATCATGGTTACTCACCAAGGGAAATTCATTTGGATTTCTTTTAGACATTGTATGTTATGCAGTCAACTGAATTCACTCCAAAAATTATCTTAAATGATGAAAATTGGAACAGAAGATACTAACAAAACCATTAAGCAAACTGCCACAGAGTATCCACTTTGTATTTCTGTCAAGCTACTGAGTAATAAATATAGTCTTATTCATTTGCAGATATTCAGAAGAATGGGAGAGCTGGAGAGCTAAGGAACGAATCTGATTTCAAGGGAACTAAGTGGGCATGCAGATCAACAAAGCAATTTAAGAGAGCTCACTCAGGAGCAAAACAAATTATGCTATTTTATGAAAATGTTTTACATTTCTAAGTGAAGTAAAAAAACCTTTGTGAGACTTATAAGTCAGAACTCTGGCTCATAAAAAGGTAGTTATGCCACTGACCAACTCAAACATATCAAAAGAAACAAGCAGGATACACTTATGAATAAATTCAACACAAGTTAGATGTGAGTTGGGGCCAGGTCTGGTTTGAAGACCACACCTTTGAGATACCTGAAGGGCCTGAGAAGGACACATCTTGAATGACTTCTCTGGGTGATGTAAATAATATTAAGAATAAGATACAAAATTGTCCCATGATCCTTCCAGATCTGATTTTCCAAAGCAGCCATACTAAAGTGTTTCCCTCCCAAAGAAAGCAGATCTCACAGCAATCTGCAAACTGTCTCAAATTTTCTCCCATGCTATTTGTTTTTCAGGTACCACTGAAACTGGACTGATTTTTATTGACTAATTTGTGGCGCTAGGGATGGAACCTAGAGCCTTGTGCATGCCAGGCAAGCACTGTGGCTCAGTGTGGCCTCCATAGACTGATTTTTAAGTTAAAAATGACTTTTTTTTTTCTTTGTTAAATGGAAGGACTGTTTAAATCTATCCTTCTGGGAGAGATGTTCTAGAAGCTTCTCACCTTTTGTAAAGGTTCTGAGATACAAAGAGGTTGAGGAGGCAACCATGCAGCTTCTGTTTACTTCCCTGCTGCTGCAAAAGCCAAGGGAGCTCATCTGCAATCCTCCAGGTCACTCTGTCCTGGCTGTCGGGAGAGAGGAGACAATGCTGGACAACAGCTTTCACAAGGAGAGTGCTTCAAAAGGCTTTGGGCAAATGTTCAAGGAAGAAAAATACATTAAACATCTATCTCTAAGTATGGCCTAATCCTGAGACTGATCAAATTCAGAAACTTCACCAACATAATTATGCAAACAAACATGAGGTATTCAAGACTATCCATCAAATTCTTCCTTGGACCTCTAGGGGGAAAGAGATAAAACTCATTGAAAGGCATTAAGAGAAGTCAAAACTCCGAGTCTATAAAACCCTTTATTCTAAAGGTATTTTCCTAAAACTGAACTATTTTTAAAAACCTTCAATAGACCCAAATATACACAGAGAGATACATACACATGTATTTTAAATAATGAATGTGAACAAAATTAAATAAAATGACCCTGCACTGATTTTACTTAAGTTGAAACCTTTAGCATGATATTAAAAGATCTCCTTTCAAGATCATCTTTTATTCTTTTTGCAATAACTACATTTTTATACTTGAAGTTATATGCTAAGAAAGAGAAATAAGGACACAAAGAAAGAGTGTGTTGCCAAAGTTACAAAACAACAATATGGACATTCATAATACCTTAGCTGTGAGGTGAAAAAGCTAATTAGCTTTTGCCTATATGAAGAAATGGTAGCAGGACCGTCCATGTACTCCAGTCTCACTGTTTCCCAAGCCTAGGCAGAAAATGCTGCATTTTAAGTTAAGTAACTATATATCTAATAATTAATTTGTAAGAGGAATATACTTTTGTCATTGTATAATAGAAATGGCATTAGAATATTTTTAAATTCAGCATATATTTATGTGACAAATTTAGAGTAAAAATTCCTGTACAACTATTTAAGAGCTCCAAACAATTTAGTTCAAACTTTTAGTTAATATATTAAAAATCCCAAAAAAGTGGAGTGAAAAGTTACTAGAAAGCGTTAAATTATATTCAAGGGATACATAATAAAGGACAAAGGCTCTGAAATTACAAACATTTCACATCTATAAATATAGTACACTCAGAAGAAAGACTTACTTCATTTGCATTTTCACACATATACAAATCAGGCGTGGCACTGCATATTGATAAGAATATGAATCCATAGTTCCTTAAGATTTCCTATGATGTGCTAGACATCAAATCTACCACCTCTCAAGGACCAAGGACCATCTAACTTCTCCTTTTAACCCTATGATAAAGTGGAAGTCTCCCAAGGGCTTAGGACTTGCCCAGAGTCAGACAGCCACTAAGCCTTGAAGAGCTGGGTTAGGAAGGGAGTCTGACTCCGAGCCCCAGCTCATGACACATAACCATACCAGCAACTCAATAAAATATAAAATTGAAAAAAAAAAACTTTTTTCATTTCCAGAAAGAAACCTCCTTTTTGTTTTGTGTTGATTTTTGGTCTTTTGTGACTTGTTTTCTTTCTTTCGAGTTTAAAAATTTTTATTTTTATCATGGTTAAAAACACTTAACATGAGATCTAGCCTCTAAATAAATTTTTAAGTGTACAATACAGTGTCATCAACTTTACGGACAATATTGTACAGGGAATCTCTAGAAATGAATGCATCTTGAGATATGACCCTTCAAAATAAGAGTTGCCTCATAATAGTAGATAATTTTTAACCTAAAGTCATTGCAAAAAATAATTTTATTTTATAACTGAAATATCAAACTAACCAGTATAATATAAAATAGAGCGGCATATTGACATTTATGAATAAAAAAGTCTTATTAAAACATGTTTGAAATAACACTTACTTGGAGATGTTGAAACCTGAGCAAGCCACAACCATATGTCAACAAACACATTTTGTGTAAACTGTGAATAAGGGAGGTCAAGACAGCCCAGGACATCTCAGGATAGAGTTCCATCAATTCTGATTCACTCACGCCATTGTGACTAACATTGACAAGGCAGAGAATCTAGATAGAAAAACAAACAATAATCACAAAGCTCCTTTATAAGTAACTAACAGTCATTACATTTTCTCTAATTCCTGTAAGCTTATTAACATTTCATCCATACTTACAAATGATTTAATAAATCAAGAAGCGGAGTTCTTACTATAAAATATGCTGCCCAAAAGGCATTAATTAAGGACAAGGTAGTATATAAATATAAAGATGTATAAAATCTGGCATCCAAAGATCATACATATGTAGAAAAAAGTTAGTGAAAATTGGAAGTGCATGAAATAGATGATTATTTTAATGACATTATTTTAATGACATTATTATTCTAATGACAGAATTCCAATTTGAGAAGACAGCAGGAAAAATAACCCTGCTCCTACAAATGCCTATGAACATCAGACTATATATATAATGGGAAACCAAATCAGAGGGACAGGTGCTGAGATACTGCCCTGGAGGAAGGGGAGAGAGAAGCAGTCCCAGTGACTTAGAGCTTGGGGGTCACACCACCCTGGGGTATGACAAGGAATGGGAACTAGAATGCCTATCAATTCTAGGACCTACTCTCTGTGTGAAAGGGTACAAGAGGAAAACATGAGACATGGAAAGAATACAAGGAAGCTCAGTGGTAAAATGAGAAGTCAAAAACCCCAGGAGCCACCAGGCTGGGAAATTTACACACAAAAAAAATGGATCCAGTTTTGAATTATAAGAGCTCAGCAAGGTGGTTAGATATAAAATAAATTTCCAAAAAATCAAAATTGAATGTATTAACAAACAGTAAGATACTATTTTAATTATAAAGTATTTATAAACAAATCTTAATAGATTTGTAGGATCTTTAGGCAGAGGAAGATAAAACATTGAAAGGCATTAAAGAAGATGACTAAATAATGGAGAATCATCTTTCCATGCAAGGGAAGACTTTTATAATCATGTTCCCCAGGGTAGTCTCTACATTCAATGCCATTCTAGTTAACATCCCAAAATGAGTTTCCATGGAGTCAATTCTAAAAATATATAACAGCAAATTAGCTAAGACSATTGTAAAGAAGAATAACAAAAAGGGGATTTACCCAACCAAGTATCAAAGCTTAAAGTTCTAATAATTAAGACAGTGCTGTACTGGCAAAGAATAGGCAAATATGGCCCAGAAGAGCCTAGAAACAGATTGACATTTATACATGAGCTTGATTTTTGTCAGGGAGTATTGCAAATCAGCAGAAAAGATGTATTAGTTAGCCATCCCTATGATTAAAGAATAATTCACACAATAAACAAAAATAAATCCACATGAGATAAGGATTTACACAAGAAGAACTATAAAACCTTTTGAAGGAAATTACACACACACACATGCTTTAATAACAGCAAAAGCACTTTAAAAAAAAAAGATACAAAAAGCCTAAATAAACCATAATGGAAACTGTTGGTAAATTTGATTTTATCAAAATAAAACTTTCAATGAATAACATCCTAAAGTTGAAAGACAAAAGACACTAATAGGAAAAAGGCATTTATTTAGAACTCCTACAGACCAATAAGAGAATGACAAAAATAATTAAAACATTGGTAAAGTACAGAAACTGGAAATTCATATAAGAAGGATAATAAATAAATGTGAAAAGATGAGAAACCCCAAAGATAATCGGGGAAATGGAAATTTTGGCAAGCCTGCATGGCTGCCAGCATTGTTGTATATGCTTGAAACATATGTAACTACAAATCAGAAAAGAATTATCTATTTCAGTTTGATTATAAACAAGACCAACTAGCCTTCTTTTTCCAAGCTGACCACACTCTACCTGTTTCATTAGCTCTTTGTCCGTGTCATCTGTCATGGACTCCTTGATGGAGCGCAGAACCAGCCTGTACAATGAAACAGTGTCCTGGCACTGGAGACACTCATGGAGGATCTTATCTACACCACCTGCTCTCCCAGCACTGTTGGAATAGAGAAGAGATTTTATTCCTTACAGACAGCCAACATCTGTGAAAAATCTAGGGTGAAGACAATGGGATCTCTATTTTTTTTGTACTATAACTGATAACAGGAACTGAATAAAATACAATACAGGAAAATGCTAATTTTATGAAGCTACTAGAATCACCAAGTTTGTTTTAGCATACCACTTAATTCAGTCCAGTAGACATAGGCTGAGACTCCCTACATTTCAAGAAATTTCTATGCGCTGTGCAACATAAAACTGAATAAGACATGGTTCTTATTGTCCAGAAGCTACCTACATACAAGATGCAGGGAAGGAAACAAAAGTACTGTTAGTAAGTTAGCCATGCAAATGAAATTTATGTAGATCCAGAATTTTTAAAACATCAGGCTAATAAACTGAGGAAAATCAGTAAAGAGAGGGGTTTGTTTTAAAATACCAATAATTCTTTTTCAAAAATGAAGATGTATGAAGGAAAGAAAAACATGATCCCTAGTTCCTGTTGAAGTATATTCTAATAAATACCATGAGATCTGTGTGAGAAGACTTATACTCTGAACTGCACTCGCTGTACTGCTGATGTTCATGGAAGCAGATTTCCAGCTGCACTTGAACCTTGGGAAGGACGGTGGAAATGTCATGCATGATTTAAAGCTTCAGAAGATTTTTTTTTCATTCAAATTTAGTGCTTAAGATGAGAATGTGGAATTAAGAGACAAGAGTACTAGATTCAATGTTTGAAAATAAGAGTTGTGCTAGAATTATGATATATTGTGATGAATGCCAAAAAAGTTATTTTTTAAAAAATATCTGGCTGAGGACAGATAAGGTAGAGGCTATCCTTAAGAAGAAACAAAAGTAGTAAAATGTTCTAATGGTTACCTACAAGCAGATTCCTAATGGGCACTAGAACAGAAAAACTACTGTATGACAACATGTTTATCAGGATTTGAGAACCAAGACAATAAAAATTCCTGCCTGCATACTGACCTCCTGATATTCCAGGAAACCTGAAACAATTCTTATACCTCAGACGTCTGCACCACTTTCCCAAAGCTAGGGGCCTCTGCAGGTGGCACAGAGCACTGATGGGTGGCTCTAAATGAGGGTGAAGAGGACCTTCTTTTTGCAACCCAGTGGGGAAAGGGTTAGGGTGATAAAAATTAGATAAATCTATCATCAAGTTCCCATAATTCACAGGCTATTCAATCTTCAGCAGTCAGCCACATTGTGTCACAGAGGGTTAGTGTCACCATTAGAATAAGCAGAAATCTGACCCAGGAAATTGTTTAAGGAGCAGCCATCAGTTCACAGGGTGAGGAAATGCTCTGCAGCAAACACAAAACACAGACTGGGACACGGCCACCACTTACCGCGCCATCATTTTGCCAAAAAGGGTGATGTAAAGGGCATTGCAAGTTGTAGCAGAACGACAATGTCGTTCCAGTTTCTTCTCCTGCACCAGTTTCCCCCAAAAAACAAAACAATAAGACAATAATCACTCTGGAATTCATCGGTCATCACTACTGAGCAGGTATCCCAGCAGAAATAGCACTTTTCTGCCATCTCCTTGGGGACATCACTGCAGGCAGCAGAGGAACTCTGGCCACGGTCAGGACGTAGCCAATGTGAAAACATGATTTTGCTTTTCAAATACTTGCTTAATATTATACAGTACTCCTTAAGACCAGAAACTTTTCATCACTTTTTCTCTGTCATTAAAGAATCAATGCATTTACCAAATAATTGCTAGATTTCAATTCTCTATAAAAATGAGCCCCAATATTGAATTTTTTTCTAAATTTTTCTTCTTAGTTATAGATGGACACAATACCTTTGTTTTATTTATTTATTTTTATGTGGTACTGAGGATCAAATCCAGGGCCTCACACTTGCTAGGCAAGCACTGTTCCACTGAGATACAAACCTCTCCCCATATTAAATTTTAAGTCTCATATAAGATATTTTATAGGAAGGCTGACACAGAATGAAAACAGTATCAAAATTAAAAATACATACCTGCTCTTTGCTCAGTTTAATGTCTACAGAGTGGCATTCTGCAATTATAATCGATTTTGCATCTTTTGGATTTAAAGGATCAAGATGAAGTGTAGGCCACAACCTTTGGTTTAAAGAAAAGTAAAATTCAAATCATTCAACAAGAACAGTAACCTTTGGTTTAAAGAAAAGTAAAATTCAAATCATTCAACAAGAACAGTAATCTACCCACAGTACAATTAAAAACCATGAAGGAAATTGATTTTTTTATTCTTCTTTTATAAAATAAGTGAAGTTAATCTCTGTTAATCACATCAAGGAAAACTATTACTTTGTTTTATTCTAACATGTATATCATTACAGCAATTAATCACCACAGAGTGCTATACATGGTATATATATTAGACAACTAAGTGGTAAAACATTTCTAGTTCTATGTTCTATGCCTTTGGTAAAACTAAGCAGAGGCATCAGTACTTTTGGGAGTAGGACAAGACACAGTCTTTTTCCACAAGTACTTATAAAGTGACTGGAATTTAAGTGCTACAATATTCACTTTCAATATGGTAGCAAAAATTGTTTTTTGGGTGTGAGAAAAATCTCATTGTTTTGTACAAAGCACAAATACATACACATATCTGCTTATATATAAAAACTGATAATATATGTGTAATACACAGTATTTTCTTAGGAAGCAGAGATTAGAAAAAAAATTTCTATGAGAATTCTTAGAGGGGGGGAAATAGGTTGAGAAACACTACTCCACACAATTCAATCTCTGTGTCATTTGTTTTTTAGGGCTGCTAAAGCCAGCTTGCTTTTCCAGATAACARGAGTCTAGACTACTATTGCTGGTCTGCTCCCCAGTTTTTCCTTTCCCATAAATTAAACTGCCTTCTAGACATCATTACTTGGATCTACAAGTGGTAACTCACACTAGCTGTGTCCAACAACTGAATTCAATGCCTTTCCTCCATAAACTTGCCTGTACTTTGTGTTTTCTGTTTTAGTTCATAAAATCGCCATCAATTTTTTTTTTAAAGAGAGAGTGAGAGAGGAGAGAGAGAGAGAGAGAGAGAGAGAGAGAGAGAGAGAGAGAGAGAGAATTTTTAATATTTATTTTATTTAGTTCTCGGCGGACACAACATCTTTGTTGGTATGTGGTGCTGAGGATCGAACCCAGGCGAGCGAGCTACCGCTTGAGCCACATCCCCAGCCCCAAAATCGCCATCAATTGATGTGTGTGTGTGTGTGTGTGTGTGTGTGTGTGTGTGTAGTGCTGGGGATTAAACCCAGGTGTACCATAAAACTGAGCTTCATCCTCAGCCCTTTTTGATTTTTGAGACAGTCTCTCTAGATTGCTGAGGCTGGCCTTGAACACCTCCTGACTCAGCCTCTGGAGTCATTGGGATCATAATTGAACCACCAGGTTCAGCTGTTTAATTTCTTGAATAAGAAATTCAGAGTCACCAAGTTTTCTCCTTTCCCCTTACATCCCAAATCTCACCTCCCTCCAAACCCTATAAATAGGATCTTTGTCTTTTTCCTGAACTCATCCTGCCATTTACATAAAGATCATGAAAAACACAAATACATATCAAAAATCATTCCTTGTTTGCCCTTAAAACATTTCACTTAATCTGAAAAACGAAAGGTAGCATCATACCTCCATGCTGCAGGGCAAGTTTCCACGTTTACAGAAACTATGACTCTTACGTTCACTGGCAGTGGGTCTATCAGCCATTTCATGTGTTTCTCAACTTGCTTAAAAATACAAAAACAAGATTCAATCTATTAACCAAGAGATTTCCAACAATCCAATAACTCCCCCAATATAGTGAAATTCTCATTAAGTTTCTCTTATTATTATGGACAAAAGTCTTATATTTGGATGATTTAAGATTTTTTTAAAGAACAAGTGGCAGGATACTATTATTACTGATCTGAATTTTGGACACTTAAGGAAATGTCAAGGCCCTGAAAATATGGTAAAACAAACAGTTTTTGCTAATTATTTAAATTCAGTTGGTCCTTCCCAATAAGATAGTAGTGTCTATTGGCACTCATACTTTTATTTATTTATTTTTAAATTCAAGTGCTTTCTTCCTAGAAATGAAGCAGGAATAAAAGGAACAGCATACTTTTCATATCACAAACACAGAATTTAAACACTGACTCGGGCCATCACTGGTATTTTTGTCTTTAAGCTCATATCACTAGGTAACAAAGTGAAAACAGTACCTGAACTTGATCTATGGAATCAATAACGATGATGATGCTTCCCTGATGACGAGCGGAGAGTTTCTCTAGCCAACGTGGAAATTCTTCCAGGAGCTTAGCGGGATCCAAAGTTAGCGCTGACACAGACCAAGAGTGCTGCATCAACTACAGGACGAAGACAGGCACAAACGAGGTGTTCACACCGATCGCAGCTGGTGGAAATGCTCTTGTGCCGTGCCTACTTTTCATATCACAACTGAGTCACCAAGAGGACCTGATTAAATACTATTTTTAACCTTGGACAAAACCAAAACTGGCTCCAGGTTGACTATCCCTTATCAGAAGAACTTGGCATCAGAAGTGCTTCAGATTTCAGTTTTTTTCAGATTTTGGAACATTTACATATGCACAGTGACATTTACATATCTTAGGAATGGGACCCATGTCTAAAGACAAACGTGTTTCTTTTTTATATATACTTTCTACACACAGCCCAAAGGGGGCTCTGTACAAATTTTTAGTGCATCTGTTTTGTGACTGTGACCACTGGTCACATGAGGTCAGGTGTGGAATTTTCCACTGACGGTGTCATGTTGGTGCTCAAAAAGTGTCCAATTTTGGTGTTTCAGATTTCAGATTAGGAATGCTCAAATTGTAATGCTGAAAAGTTATTTATCATCATCTCCTTAGTCCTGATGATTTCTGAATCTAAATAATATTTTGAGAATTCCAAAGGTGGCATGCTATACCTTTAGYGTCAGGCGTTTAATAATCAAGGAGGACTCTGAACTGGTGGACATGGGCCTCCCCACAAAATGAGAAAGGATCAGCATGTTCGGGGAATTCTTCTGCTGCAATTGAATCCTGAAAGAAAAACAGGACTATTACAAAACTGACCAGAGACTCTGCTTCAACAAAAGAAGAATTCACAGCAAACTAGACATTAAATGCTGACTATCAGCAATCACATGATTAGTCACTTGTACATAAACACATAGCATTCTTGATTTTACTTCATTTTTACAAAATTTTAAATATACTTGAAAAAATTATTGATTCATTTTAGTCACAAATTGATATTTACATTAGAGGTTAAGGTATTAGTAAAGGAAGCATTAAAATAGTTTACTTTGAAGGTTAGTAAAGTAACAATTTTTAATTAAAATATGCTATTTGAGGAAAATTTATTAGGTACAAAAATACTATATTTCAAAGATACCTTTAAATAATAGAGCAATAAACAAGAATCAATCATATGCGAACTCTTCAATGTAAATAATTATGAATAAAAGAAAATATTCTTAATACTTGTTTAAAAATAATACAATGAAATTTAGAAGCTTATTAGTGTATATGAACCTTTGTCTATAATTTGAAGACTAAACTGCATTCACAGTAAAGGTTATTCTTAGTTTTGATGCTTTTTTAGAATTCATCTTGCTTTTAATAGTTTGTCTTCAAAAGACTGGATATTTATCCCAGGGGTACTTTACCACTGAGCTCCATTTCCAGCCCTTTTTTAAGAAATTTTGTGATGGGGTTTCACCTAGTTGTGCAGGGCCTTGCTAAGTTGCCAAAGCTGGTCTTGAACTTGAGATCCTCTTGCATTAGCTTCCTGAGCTGCTAGAATTACAGGCATGACCCACTGCACCTGGCTATAGACTTAGTCTTCACTCAAATACTTTCAAGTCCTATGGAACTTTTAAGATGAAGCCAATAACTGAGAAATAAAGATGTATCCCTCTTTAATTTACCTAGTTCCCCGCCATACTGACACACCTTACTCCTGTACTTCTTTATCTCTCACCCATGTAATTTGTGTTCACAATCACGAATGTTCACACTTCTTACTTGTTTTTCATTCTGTATTTTCTCTCTGACATCCAAATTCTCTACACTGCATAAAGCTATCAATTCACTCCTCTGTGCTTTGTTAGTGGTTAGTATCGGCCATGCGGCAAGGCAGACACGCAGTGCGTTCTGTTGAAGGACCTCTGTAATTCAAGTGATGAGGATAAGTAGGATTTAACTTTAGGGAGCAGAGATCATACCACTTTGATAAAAGAAGGGACTTTCCAGAACCTGGTCCTCCAGACACCAGAAGGGGTGGAATCGGGGCTGGTGCTGCCACCAGATCATTGAGGCGTTGGTAATACTAGAAACAATAATAAATTTAAATTGTGAGGAAGTGCATGCCTCTGAGAATTCCAGTCAACTTCTGATTATCAATGAAAATACTGGAACAAGCTGCATCAGAAAACTCCACTGTCAGTTGAGGCACCCTTAGTTTGCTACTTTAAGTGTATTTTATTCCCAAAATACACTTAAAGTAGCAAACTAAGAATGGGCCCCAATTTCTCCTCCCATAATGTTGCTGTTAATTGATGAGTGAAGGACACCACTTCAATCCATGTGGGTTTTGCAATTCAGATGCTTTGCAGAACACTGCAGGGAGGTCACTCTGTTATACTGGATCCCTGAACCACACAAGGTACCACAGAAGGCCTTGAAGGCCCGTCAGGCATGTTGGATCTCTTCATCATCAAAATCAACACCTGCTTTACAGGATAACTATCTCTTATCTTAAATAGTTGGTACCAGCAATGTCCTGGAGACCTTCTTAGTTTCCAGGGACTGGTTGAGAATAGCTCTAAACAAGAGCAGGTTTCTTCTGGGGCCTTTTGAGTCTCCTAATTTGGCCCAGGGAATCAGGTTAGCGTAGGATGCTACAGAGCTTTCTGAAATTGAGTTTCTCTCAGACACTCAAAACTGGTTCAGAGCTTAGAGGATGCACTCAGCAGACCAAATTATTACAGTACTTATCAAAGTTCTTGGGGAGTTTCCAAAGTTATCTTAGGGTTTGGATGTTCATTAAGTGGCCTAAATGATAGCTGATGACAATTTTTAAAAATCTGCAATAAGAGCACATGGCTTTAAGCTACAAAATTTCTCTAGGAACTACAAGAAAGGATTACTTGGAATAGCTTTACAATTAATTTTTCTTGCTTGTCTATCTAGATATAGAATACATTGAATCAAATAATTCTGCTAGTAATGATGCATCTGAAGGAAGAAAGGACTTCATAGATTTACTATCTCATAAATCCTAACCACTTGGCTAAGGTTCCACAGAAAGCTCAATTATAGAGCCATGGTTCTCAAGTTAAGATCCCTTGTTGTACAAGAAAAAACAAAGGATTTGGAGCCAGAAGACCCAGGTTCAAATCCCAGATCTGCAATCTACTCCCTGTGCACTCTTGGTCAAACCATAATCAGAACCTCAGTTTGTATATAATTAACAACAGAGGTACCTGTCTTATAAAATATTAATTTAACATTTGTCTTATGCCTGGTACTATGCTAAATGCTTTATGGGCATCATCTGGCTTAATACATTACAACAGCCCAATGAAGTAGATACTAGTAGTTATTCTCATTGTACAGACAAATCATGTCTAGTGTGGTCACGTGATTGACCAAATAGATTCCAGTTAGGAAATGATGGAATAGGACATAAATACAGATAGTAAAAATTTTAAGAAGATAATGCTAAGTGAAGATAGCCAATCCCCCTAAAACAAATGCCGAATGTTTTCTCTGATATAAGGAGGCTGATTCAGGCTGATTCATCCTGGGGTAGGGAGGGGGAGCATGGGAGGAATAGACGAACTCTAGATAGGGTAGAGGGGTGGGAGGGGAAGGGAGGGAACATGGGGTTAGAAATGATGGTGGAATGTGATGGACATTATTATCCAAAGTACATGTATAAAGACATGAATTGGTGTGAATATACTTTGTATACAACCAGAGATATGAAAAATTGTGCTCTATATGTGTAATAAGAATTGTAATGCATTCCTGTCATATATAAATAAAAAATAATAAAAATACTGATGTTAATGTTAGCTTCCATCATATTCTTTAACATATTATTCTTACATTAATTTTAAATATTAAGTATTTTTTTAACTTAGACACCTTTGTTTGTACACATCAAGTTCTATTAATTTTTTAGATATTTAGGATGCTGATTAGACCACTAAAGGACTGATCTACCTATTGCATGAACAACTGCACTCTGCTTTCTGAATGTTTGATACTCTCATTCCTTTAAATTGGAAGAATAGCCTTACTATTATAATCAAGTTTCCTAGCTATGCTACACCCAGCCCAGGTGAGTTGTAGATGGTGATACTATGAATTCATAAATTCTAATATATAACCAGAATTGCTTGGTGCTTATAAGTTTATCTGAATCTCACACATCTTTCAAATCTCAATATGGAGAATCACGCTATGACAGCAGACTACTAACCAATCACAGACCTTGATTATATTTAGATGAAATACAATTATAACACAGCCTTTTGGTGGTGACTAATCTTTGCTGGAACAATACTCCAAATGCTTACTTTCTCAAATCCTAACTCATGGGCTGAATTAGAAGCCTGCTGAAAGGTTTCCATTTGCTCTTGTTCATCGTGTATGTCCCACAGAACATCCCCAAAATCATCTTCTTCTGGAAGGGAATCATCACTTCCCAAATCCTTAGTCTCCAGGTCTGTGTTCTCAAAGCCTAGTATATCCTGAACACAAGGAACAAGCACACAGAAACAAAGGAGAAAATGAATGAGAGGCAAAGACCTTGCAGCAGGAGTGAGCACACAGGCCCCAAGTGGGCTTAAGCTACCGAGGAGGGATGTCCAAACCTATGGCTTTAATATAATACCTGCCAGCATAAAGTTATAACCATAAATGATAATTTAAAAATAAGGAAGACAAATAAAAATATTAAAATAACAAAAACAAAGATCTCTTCTACCTAAAAATAAAGCTAGAGGGGATATTGGACTCTGATGAAATTTGCTTTCTGAAAAATGCTACATGGGACCTGTGGTTATATCTGCTAGTGAACAATTTTTAAGGTTGTGCTATCATTTAAGAAATATGCCATAAACATTTAATTACTGCCAGCTGCAGTAGTGCACACCTGTAATTTCAGTGGCTTGGGAGGCTGAGGCAGGAGGATTGGGAGATCAAAGCCAGCCTCGGCAAAAGCGAGGTATAAAGCAACTCAGTGAGATCCTGTCTCTAAATAAAATACAATATAGGGCTGGGGATGTGGCTCAGTGGTTGAGTGTCCCTGAGTACCTCTCTCCCCCAAATTTAATTACCTAGTACCTCTCTCCCCCAAATTTAATTACCTAGATGGAGTTTTTTTATATCAAATATCTATGCTGTCATATCTTTATATTAGATCACTGAAAACATATTGTTCTTCAATCATTAAAGATAGTAAATATGGCCAGGTTCATTTTACTCAATTCATTTTTTTCATCTGTCCTAAAATTTGCAAGATTGTTGAAAATATAAAAATTTATAACGACAATCTTTATATTAGATAACATCACTCTTTCTCTGATAATAAATTTTCATATCTGTAAAGCAAATTAATTAGAAAAGGTATTCTAACCCCTTACTTCTCAAATAGACTCTCTAGTTCCCTGGAGGTGTCTAGAGGGATGGGTAACTACATACTAAACATGGTACATCTTCCTCTTGTGTTCATTTTACTTGAAGATGGGGCATCTTTTATTATATAATTATTGGTATTTTGTTAATAAGTAATTTTGACAATATTTTTAATATTAAAAATAAACTGGTATACTATCAAACAGACTATATAAGGTAAATATATTTTTAAGATAATACATGAAATTTCATAAAAACCTTAAGCTCCAGACACCTCTCTGGTCCATGTTCTCGGCTTCCTTAAGGGATACTTGAACCTCTCTCTGCTGATAGGGATAATGTGGTGGGAAAATTTGAGGACTTTTCTAATATGTAAAAATCCAAAGTGCACACAGAATCTAAGGAGCCTCTCTATTGAGTAAAATGCACATTTTACTTCAAACATCTATTTTATTTATTTATTTGGTACTGGGGATCTAACCAAAGGGTGCTTTACCACTGAGCTACATCCCCAGCCCTTTTATTTATTTATTTTTTAAATTTTGAGCCAGGGTCTCAGTAAGTTACTGAGGCTGACTTCGAACTTACAATCTTTCTATTTCAGCCTCCCAAATCTCTGGGATTACAGGTTTGTGCCACTGTGCCCATCTCAAATATCTACTTTTTAACTTGCACTTTTGTAATATGTTTTCTACTTAACAGGTATGAACTGTCAATCATCTGTGAGACCGATGAGTGGTAACAGCATCTATTTGGTCCTAAGTAATGCCATAATTACACTACAGGACGTACTCCCAACAAAACAACAGTGGTTTCCTTGGGGACTGTTCTCAGAAGAACAAACAGGTGGTTTTCTCTGGAAAACTCAACTTTATGGAAAACAGTCTTAAAATATTTTAGATGAAATCTTACAGGGGATGCATATTTACCTGTTTAATGATCTTTTCCACACAAATATAAGTTTTATATACTCCCTCTGCAGGATCTCCTGAGTGATCAATGAACTGGGAAAAAGAAAAAAATCCACAGTAACAACAAACGCAGCAACAGCAGGAAGAGGTGGTGGTGCTGTGTCAGGAAATATTCTAGGCCTTAACATATCTGTCCTCGCTTATCCTCAATAACATTATAAGGGAGAAACTATTATTACCCTCATTTTATAGATGAGGAAACTAAGGCATTTCTTTAAAAAAAAAAAAAAAAAAACTTGCCCAAAGTCACACAAAGGATTTAGTGTGACCAGGGGTGTGATAAAACCCAAAGTACACAGGTTTCCCCCCCCTTATCACCTCTCTGGTCTAAGCCACTAGCACCTCTCACCTGGATGGTACCACAGCTCTCAGACTCTGCCCACTACACTCCAAACTGCTGTCTATTTTCCACGAAGTGGCCAAAGAGATTACTTGTCCAGGATCGCATCAGGCCCTGATATTCTTCTTTTTAAAATCTTCCAGTGGCTCCCCGTCTTATTCCAAGGGAACAAAACCAAGCTCTTAAAATGGTGTTCAGGACTCTTGAGGATCAACTGGGCCATCTCTCCTGCTCCCCATCCCCTCACTCTATTCTGGCCTTGCTGGCCTCCTCCCCCTCCTCAGACACTCCAGGCTCATGCCCACTCATGACCTTTAGTCTGGCTCTTCCCTCTGCCAAGCATTTTCTGAAAAAAGAAACCCTGTGACTTTTACCTTGGCTTTGTTGGCCTTGTTGAGGTTAGAAACTTGATCGATCAATCGCTGGACAGAGTCGGAACTGACTTTCCCATCCTCCAGACGGTGATAAACTAACCGTGGTTTTCCTTCAGGGTTTTTCAGAAAGGCTTCTTCACAGTCTTCCAATAAAAGGCTAGATGAGAAATTGGCATTTCTGGTGCTTCACTGCACGGTGGCAGCAAACAGTAAAACAACCTACTCCAGTGACAGGTGGCCAGAGAAGCTGCAGCCCAGTGAAGCTTCTAAAAGCTACTCTAAGTCCTTAATTCTCTGATGAAACTCTGTTATAGCTTGTTCTTAAAATACAATGTGTTCCTTAGCCAACAATTAGAGTCAGTATGATAGATTATGAATTAAATTGTAAAGCTTAAGCAACTTAATTTTTTAAACCTCACAAAATTCTCAAAGATTCTGTTACACATGGCTCAAAATAGTGGAACCAGACTCATGAGACTTTGCAAATACATGGAAAACAAAATTCCATTGTCTGATTTATATTTTCTAAGTTTAAACATTATCAGCCCTAAAGGCTCAAGACAATTTTTTTCTCCAGTCCTTTAGCCTTTTCTCATTTAATAAATGGCCTCAATATGTCCAATACCTACTATGAGAAAGACCTAGGGGTAGATGGGTGAGGTCAAATGAGTAGCAAAAACCTTGACTTTGGTAAAGTTGTTTTTTTTTTAAATAAACTTTGCTACAGGGAACCATAATTACATTGTTTACAAAAGTTACTAAAAAATTCTAGAACTAATAAAAAATTAGTGTTTTATACGCCACAGGAACATTGCAGCCAATTCCCCTTTCTAAAAGTTTTAAAGTTGTCTAGAGAGGCATATTGGTGTGTATGTGTGTGTGCATGTTGGACATGGGAGCTAGTAAAAAGATTCAGAATTTGCAAATGCAGAAACTAGTCTCAAAGATAAAACAGAAAAAAATAATACCCTATTAGATGTTTCTGGGCTAACCCAATGTACCAATCCACAGAAATTTTCATTGTTGAGATCATTCTGGCCATGTTTTACAGAAGTTTGGAATTTAAATGACCCATTTCTTTTTGTTTTGGGTTTAAAAAAAAATCTGTGGCCCAGATGAATGCCAAAGAGTGGGCCTTCTGTTCAGATGCATGTTTGTATTTGAAAAGCAGGCCCTACAAAATTGACACAGGGGTTTAGGTAAAATGCTATGGTCTCTGGGATTTGGTGGCATCTGGTGGAAGGGAAGTAGATGGTACAGATGAAAATAAACAGATCAAGAGTTAATAACTGCTGAAGTCAGAGAGTATGACAGGCCGGCTGACATGCTGATAACCTGCATTGCAGAATCTAGTCGGAAAGTGGGTTGTACAGACAGACTCAGAAGGGAGGAGCTGATAGAGGAGATGCCACTATGTGAGGCCACTGGAATTGGAAATGGGGAAGACAATGAAGAAAGCTCAATCACAAGAGTGGAGCTTCCACTTCACTAAATTCTGTAAGAAAACTCCACAGAGTTACTCCTTGTTACTAAGGACTGAATGAAACCAAGAGTAGGGCCTAAGAAGTCCTGAAAGGTGATTTGATTATCCTTTGGTAATTACCCTGAAGGCTCCCAAGAGGGAGCCCTTCTCCCTGGAGAGATGAATGATGCACTGAAGAAAACCAGGTGCAGTAGTCCCTCTGTGCCACCAGGACCAGAGGATGCCTCCAAAATGAAAAGCGGCCTTCTCTTCCACTTATGATCAAGAATTCTTCATTAGCTTAGCTGCCCAACAAGAGTTTTGCCACAATGACGGAGGACAAAGAATCAAGAGCAAAGAATATCCTAGACCTTTATCTAAAATATTCCTATTGGCCAGTCCCTCCTGGAGTCCCCATTTTTCAGTTCACATCCTTCATGTTAAAAGAGTTCTCCTATGATTCTGCCACAGAGGAAAGCAGGTCAAATTAATTAAAGAAGAAACACATGGATCAGCAGTGTCAGAAGTCTGACCATTTCCCTTCTCTGGAGAGGGACAATGGAAAGGCATGGCTCCTGTGTTCCACACTAGATAGACATTTTTTTTTTTTTTTATGATGACTGAATTTTGTGAGAAGCCACTGAACAGTATCTTTAAGTAACTCTGTGGGTACCATTTGGACACAAGGTATAATTATTGGTTAGAAAAGCATTTCTCCATCAAGATTCCAAGTGGTTCAGGAGTAGTATTTCTAGATTCACATTTTGGGAAGGAGGAAGGATCCATAGGGAGAGGTGAATGAGCAATATGAGAGAAATGAAGGCCCCAAGAGTCCCTGCTTGTGGTGTGAATCTCATCTTGACTGTCACACCTGGTGACATCCATGGAAGAAACCAATGATGAAATAAAATAATAAACAGAGTAAGAAAAAAAATCTAAGTAAAATAAAGGTGAAGCAGAGGCTAAGAAAAGACTAGGAAATTAAAAATTCTTGTTATTTAACAAGAATAACCTTTTAAAATGCAAATAAATGTAATTTTAGTTAAAGGAGATATATGAATCTGCCAATCAGAAATAATAAAATATGAAAGAAATGGGGGAACATTAAGAAGAGTTTAAGATTAGGAAGATAAAGATAAATGTTAAAAGTATCAAAATAATGTACAATATTCTATTAACAAATTCCTGTAGGTAAAGAAACAACAATATATACAAAGATATGAAATATTGTGCTCTATATGTGTAATAAGAATTGTAATGCATTCTGCTGTCATGTATTTAAAAAAATAAAATAAATTTTTAAAAAAGCTCTAAAAAAAGAAAAGAAAAATAAGATGGTTTCAAGGACTAAAGATAGGAATTAAAGAAAAATAATGTAAAACAAATGACATAGCACCAATAAAATAAAATATTACTCAATATTAAGTAAGGAAACATGATAAAACCTTAGTAAATTTAAAAATGGAAGAAAAGGAAAAAGAGTAGATAGTAATAAAACTCACTGAAGGCAATCAAGTGGAAGGACTCCTAACATACTCCAGGTGAAGGCTCACTGACCAGCCAGCTGCCACCTGCCTGGCCACTAGGCAGGCAGTCTTTTTTTTTTKKGGGGGGGTACTAGGGATTAAATCCAGAAGTGCTCAACCACTGAGCCACATCCCCAGCCCATTTTTTTTTAACTTTATATTTTGAGACAGGGACTGACTAAATTTCTTAGGGCCTTGTTAAGTTGCTGAGGCTGCCCTTGAACTTGTGATCCTCCTGCTTCAGACTCCCAAGTCATTGAGATTACAGGCATGTGCCACCACCCTTGACCCACTTAGCAGAGTCTTAGGATTAATGATGAGTTAGTTATACAGCAGGGAAACTCTTGTCAAACTTTAGGTCCCACATGCTTCTGTACATAGTAAAAAAATGTCAGTTTGTCCTCAGACAAAAAAAGAGAAATCCTTTGAAGGGTTAAATTCAATCAGACAACAAATCTAGAAATAAAAATTATTAATCTCTCTGTAAGCTTATTTGTCTTTTATCTACATATCTAATTGATGTTAAAAAATCTTTATTTACAGGCAAGATTCATTAGCATGCTTACATTCACATTATAAGGAGACTGCTCACTTTGCTGGGTTTATTCAAGTAATAAAGCTCCTCAATGCATTTCAATTATGATTCAACACATACACTATTGTTCAAGGTGTGTGTATCATATAAAACCCATAAACTTCTGAAATTGTATCCAAAGAAAGAAAGGTTAATAATAATTACCGAAATCATGGATCACCAACTTTTTCTGTAAAAGGCCATAAAGTCAATATTTCATGCTTTGTAGGACATAAATTTTCTGTTACAACTACTGAACTTTCCTGCTACAGTAGAAAAGCAGCCACAGAAAGTATATAGTGAAAAAAACATGGCTGTGTTCCAATAAAACTTTATTTTCAAGGGCAGGCACCCAGCTGAATTTGGCCACCAGGATATAACTTACTAAGTCCTGATTAAAATGATCTTTATATTAAAGATGTTGTTCATACAACCTATTAGAAAAGTCTAATAGTCTAAAAATTTTAATTCTTTATTTTAGGTAAGTGTGAAACAGTTTTGGAACTTATTACATTTCATATATTGTTTTTGATTTTAAAGAATGTAATTACAACCTATCTTTGAAGTTCATTTGCAATTTCAATCCTATATACAACTAATGCATATAGTAAATTACAGATTTTTCCATCTTACCTTGGTAAAGTTGAGTGGATGAATAAAATAACTAAGGAACTCTTCTCAATTTCCCATTTTCTTATAGTGAGGTATTGATTTTCAACGTCTATTGGAAAATAAACAGCATGGAAAAAATATCCCATTGTCTCGCACATTCTTTTAAGTTTAGGTGAATAGTCCTAAAAACAAATTATGATATATATATAAAAGCATAATGTATTTAACTTAAAATATAGTAAGAGTCATATGGCTTTAAATATTATGCTCTGTAACAGGTTATGGCAGGTATTTTCTATCACAAAATTCTAGGAGTAATAATGAATCACATTTAAAAACAAATCCTAAAGAGAAAAATCCAATTTATCCCTAAAACATAAATAATAATAGCTTAACCACCAAGCTATTCTCTAGCTTAGAAAATGATTTATTTCATGATCATAACAGGAGAAAGCATTAGGTTATTTTGCTTTGGTGCTTCTTTCTTTTTGTGATTATTATCGTGAACAATTTTGGTTTTATTGTTCTAAAGAATACAAAATATTGATCAACAGATCTATATAACACAAAGGCTCAAGCTTGATATATTAGAACACCAAAGCAAACAGAAATATGCTAGAAACATGTTGGTCTTTAATAAATTAGGTTACTAAGTAAAGATGATTATCATGAAAAAATCAGTAACACCCTCAGAAATGTCCTTGGGAATAACCTATATGCAATTTACTGAATGGAAACTCTGAGCTTTAAAATATTTTTACCAAAATTGAGTAATACTACCAAGGAAAGCTAAATGTATTTATTAACCAACAATCTGGAAGATGTAAATACTGTAGGTTTGGTCTCTGGATTTACTTAAAATTCACTTGGAATAGTGGCAGACAAAACTTTTTCTACAGAGTTATGATGGCAAACAGTTTTTAAAAAATAATTATAGCTTGACACCTTGGCATTTTAGCAGGCATCTTTGCAGCCTATTTGGTTCTTGTTACAATTTGCTCTGCCATTGAAATGTCCTTGTAGTGCAGCTAGAGATGGCATATATATGAATAAGTCTCGTCATGTACAATCAAACTTTATTTATAGACATTAAAATTTGGATTTCATATAACTTTCAAGTCATGAAATATTACTCTTCCTATGATTTTTTTAAAAGCAATTTAAAAATGTGAAAACCAATCTTAGCTCCGGATTATGTGAAAACAGGCAGAAGGCCAGATTTGGCCTACAGGGTACAGTTTGCAGATCCCTGTCTTAGAAAAACTCCAAGGGCTGCCTTGAAAAATTAAAAACGATGACAAGGATTAAATTTGTTACTATCTGCAAGAGATTCAAAAGATAGAGCTGGCAGATGTAACTAAAGTAGGTGTGATCTAGGTCTTAAACATTGTGGAGAATAGCAAGGATGGTGGAATGTGATGGACATCATTGTCCAAAGTACATGTATGAAGACATGAATTGGGTGTCAGTCTACTTTATATACAGAGATATAAAAAATTGTGGTATATATGTGTAATAAGAATTATAATGCAAAAAAGTACATGTATTGGCGTGAACACACTTTATTACAAAGATCTGAAAAATTGTGCTCTATATGTGTAATAAGAATTGTAATGCATTCTGCTGTCGTGTATTTAAAAAAATCAATTTAGTAAAAAAAAAAGAGAGAATACACAATAAAATGTAGAACAACATAAAGCTCCAACACCCTAAAATGGTATTCAAAACTAATTAGAGCTAATTATAACCCTCCTTTCCTGTCTTAGTTCCTTCCCTAAGAAAGTCACTCCCGGAAGGCTAAAAATCAAAACCCTTAATTCAACAGCTATCTTTCTTTGCATCTAATACAGAACAATGTTTTCTCTGCAGAAAAGTCCAAGAGGCTTCCTGTTCTTTAAGACATACTATCTAATATCCAGCAAGGCATATGTGGTTCAGAGGCAACAGTATCCTGAATAGGGTATAATATCAACGTGTGTTTTAAAGCAGTGTATACAGAATTTTTATAGATATCCTCACCTTCAGGAAAAGATCCATTTCAGGCTGGGTTTCTTCTGTGTACATGAGGTAACATCTGACAGTGTTACTCCATAGAGAATGTGAAAACAAGGGAGTCACCTGTAATAAACTAGCTACGGCGACATCCCAGTCATCTGAAAAGAGAATTTCCACAAGTTCAAGCAAAAATTACCAGAAGGCATAACAGGCACATAGAATGGAATCTGATCTCACAAGTTGAGACTGAGATGGCTTGTAGAATGACATAAAAGGCAATTAGTTCTCGAACTTCAAATTCCTTCCTGGGACTTGAAGCAATAAATGTCACTAGTGGTCTTCCCTGGTGTACGGGGATTCTAGTCAAATTTTCCAGAACTTCCTTACAGAGCTGTGTGATTACTCCACTATTTGAGGGAAGCCTGCACTCCCAGGATGACCTATCATTGGACTTTCTTATTCTCATTCTATTGAGTCATAAAGAACATTTAAGAATAATATAAAATGAAAAGAAATTTATGTTATTGAATTAGAATGAAAATTTTGAGACATATTTGGATAATTCAAAAAGCACAATTTAAATAAATGATTTTCATTTTGCAAATAGAGAAAAAAATTTTATAGTTTTAAGAAATAAAAAGAGTAGAGCTACTTACAAACCTTCTGAAGTCTGCTCTGATACTGAAATTGTAAACAGACCTTATAGACTTTTTGGACATTCAATTATATGAAAACAATAAGCACATTCTCCTAAGAATACTATATGACCTAGTAGGGCTTTGTGTATTTTGTTCCAGGCTCTAACCTTCTACATCACTTAAGAAACAGGGAAAGACTAAATCCTATTGTTTCTCAGTTAATAAGCATCAGACTCTTGCTCTTAAACAAATCACCTGAGCATTCAGACCAGAAGCATAGTAACTAGAAGCTGGTTAGCCTGGCTGGCTGCAGCATCATGTGATCCCAATATGAATTATGTAACTTCATCCCCCTGGTTAGGTACAGTGTCAATGGAAGGTACTCAGAACACAAATTTCATGCTCTGCTGGAGGCAGTGGTCTTAGCACAAGATTACAGAATATGAAATCAATTCCACTAGGCAAGAAATTGGCAAGCGGTGTGTTACCTCTGTTGACATTTGCAAAGGGTCCCTCCACATCTATGGAACTGTGGGCGAACTCCGGCCCTCTGAAGGACTGTTGAAGCTGGATCAAGCTCCCTATGGAGGGCTCACTGCCCAAGGCCCCACCACTCCAGTATTCACACTGGGTTCCAGCAGCTGTCATGGCAAGAGATCTTTAGGTTGTGCAGACCAAGTTACCTACTGTTCAAACACTCAGCACATACATTCAACAGGATTTGTAACTTTAAAAACTCTACAAAATCCATATACAATAAATATTCAAATGATTTGGAAAGTACTTTGCCATCAACTTTTGATACAGACCTAAGGTTATCATCTCAAATTCAAGGAGGAGATTAGAAAGGAAAGAAGAAATAAGAATACAATAAACAAAGGAATTTTAATAAAAGGGCAGTTAACTCCATACAAAATTCTATAAACCATTCTTAACTATGCATCATAGATATCAGCTAAAATGTAAAAGAAAGAACTTCAGAGGCAGGCTGCTACTTGTGCACTAATAACTAATCTTTGTGATTTTTTAGGACATAAATTCTAACCTCCAAGAACAACAGAATTAATGTCTGAATCAACAGTTACTTGTGAACATGTGGATGATTTTCTAATAAACTACATGGCCCAGAATATCTACCCTAACCCTAACTCTATATATTAAAAAAACAACAACAACAACAACAACAACAACAAAAAACCACCTAGGCTGGGTGTGGTGGCACACACCAAAATCCCAGTGACTCCTGAGTTTGAGGCAGGAGTATCTCAAGTTTGAAGCCAGCCTCAGCAATTTAGCAGGACCCTGTCTAAAAATAAAAAGGGCTGGGGATGTAGCTCAATGGTAGAGTGCCCCTGGGTTCAACCCCTAGAACCCTGCCCCCACAAAAAAGACCTAAAATAAATATTACATTGTTTTTGTTAACTTCACAAGACAATTATAAGAGTTTTGAAATGCTGTGCATTTGAACATGCTGATACTGAAACAATCACTCAGACTAATGTGACAGCAAAAAGCATTTTCTCAGTTGTTCTTAGACAGTTAGAATCACTTCATCTTTTTCTCAAAAGTTAATAATAAAAGTCCCAGGATGCTGGTCAGATTGGAATTATCAGCCTGGTGCAGTGGTGCAGGCCTGTAATCCTACTGGCTCCGGAGGCTGAGGCAGGAGTTCAAAGCCAGCCTCAGCTAAAGTGAGGCACTAAGCAACTCAGTGAGACCCTACCTCTAAATAAAATACAAAAAATAGAACTGAGGCTATGGCTCAGGTTGAGTGCCCCTGAGTTCAATCCCTGATAGTACCCCCTTCAAAAAAAATAAAAAGGAATTGTTGGTTCCTATATTTTACTCCAAAATGCACCAGTTTGTAAGACTATAATTTAATAGTCCTTTATAAGTGGGAGAGTAACTACATTTAAAATAAAATCTTTCCCTTTTTTCAATATTACTCAGAATTTATTAATATTTTCTTGGGACATGGTACACTCTTTCATTCTGTGATTTTAGGTCTTATTGCCAGAAAAATATATTTTATATGTTTAATTATAAAACAAAAACTTTTTAATAGCTTCCCATCTAGGGACATATAATGCAGGTATTCTAAATGATAATTGTGAAGAATACATCGTCATATGGGGAAATAATGTTTCAGAGAATACTAGTTCCAATAGCCCCTCTCCCCTTCTGCCTACATTTTCCAACCCTCCTAGGTGTAGTTCTGCCCAATGGGACTTGAGCAGAAGTGATGTGTGCATCATTCAGATTGTCTTCAAAAAAATAAGAATGTGTTCTCCCTTTCCTTCATCTCCTTGGCTAAAACACAGATGTGACGGAGGACATGCAGCAGCTATCTCAGACCAGATAGGAAACAGGTATGGGGTAGAGCTGGCAAAGCAGCGTGGCAGAAGGAACCTCAGCCCCTGACTTCATGTATTTCAAGAAAAGGAGAGAGACACAATGATGCAGGAAAAAGTTCAACTCTATTTGTAACAGTGATCTAAGCTAATATAGACAAATAAAAGGAATATAGCAGAATGCAAAGTTTGCTCTATAATACCACTACAGCTATGTTGAAAGCTCAACATATTATTATTTTTTTTAAAGAGAGAGAGAATTTTTTTTAATATTTATTTTTTAGTTTTCAGCAGATACAACATCTTTGTTTGTATGTGGTGCTGAGGATCGAACCAGAGCCGCACGCATGCCAGGCCAGTGCGCTACCGGTTGAGCCACATCCCCAGCCCTCAACATATTATTAACAGGAATTGAATTTACCAGTAATATCTGTACAGTTGTCATCTGAATCAGACTCCCCAGGATCAAATACTTGGATCCCCTGAGCCTGTAGCCTCTGAAGTTTGCTCTCCAGCTCTCGCTTGGCCCTCAATAAGTCCTGAATTTCATTTTCTTTGGTCTCTCTAAAAATCTTTAAAAAGGAGAATTTTAATTTTGAAATTGTTTTCATAATCCAAAGGTTGTACCATCAACTTTTAAGGGGAAAAAAAGGCTTTCATTCATAAAATCAATATTCACTTGGTCCCCCATCTCCTTTTTTAGGGTAAATGCCCCAGGAGCTTCCCATTTCACAACTGGAGCCCACTGAAATTCTGGAASAATGGATGTGTGTGGTGTGGGCCTTTCATGTACCCTGAATGATGTTCAGCAAATCTGTCTTCCTGCCACTAAATACTGGTAATGTCTTCCTACACAAAACATCCCCCCAATTTTCCTTTCTCCAAAAAGAAATGCTTTCCTTTTTAAAAATCTCTACTACAATGTTCATTTTTATACCTTTTCTTTGTTACACCACGTCCAACTCAAAAATGAAAAAGTGCTCTACACTAGTTCTTATGAAAATTCTACATAATTTATTTATTCATTGCAATATTCTAGAAACTTTTAAAAATACATTGTTTTTATTCTGTGTCATTCTGAGGTAAAAATGTAGGGAATTTACCTTGAATTGCCGCTTAACTTTATCTCTGTCATGTTCAAATGTAGCTGCTCTCTCCATTGCTTGGTATTTTGCTTCTAAAGCACTTTCTTTTTCTCGAAGTATCTTCTGATAAGTTTTCTGGAGTGCCTGGAATAATTTACCTTGTTATTCCTTCTCAAAAATAATCTCTCTCCCAAATTTTACATTTGTGCCTTTACATTACATAGCTTAGGGTTTTAATAATTTACTATTTTTATCAGTTATCAAGAATTTCATGTTGCCATTTTATTAAAATACATAATTAACAAATGCAAATATGCCTGAACTATAATAAGACACTTCAACAATGGAAATTAATACTTTAAAAAATACTGCTCTGGCTCTTAACTTCCCTATGGCTCAGTTTTTCTATCTTTAAAAAGAAAATACACCTTGTAAGGCTTAACTTGAACGACAGTTAATTCTGGGAGTCTATGCACTCCTTGGCACTATATCTTAGTCATTATTATACCCTGAGCGCTTCATAGTGCCTAATATACTGCAGACTCCCAGTAAAAATGTCTGACTACTGACTAAAATAAATATGGAAGAGATTTTCATGCCTACATAGGTGAGAAAGGAACCAAATGGGACACAAGGAATCAGGATTGGTAACAGGAGTAATCTGGAACTGTGACATTTGTCAACCCTCTCCACACTCTGCCCTGTTTAGTTTGGCCTTCTTTTCTACCTGTCAACTCACAGTGATTTTCAACATGCAGTGTTCACTGGGCAGTGGCCTGGACACATGAAATCAGATATCTGAAATACACAAGTTCACTTTATGTACTCAAGTGCATTAAGTCCATCCAGTGGGAAACTGATAACAGACTAATGCCAAATATATCTTCGCAGATAACATGCTAACTCTATAACATATAATGGCTAGTGAAGGGGTGAAATAAGAAAACCCGATTTAGAATGCCCAGACTGGAAAAGGGGCTTCCTTMTTTTATATAAATGAATCTGAGGTATTCATTTAATTCCTACTGTGATAAGCCCAGGAACTCTTGAGCTGCCTAGAAGTCTCAATCACAGTAGAGTAAATAAACAACACAATAACCTTCAGAGGAGTCCAAAAGAGATGGCATAATGTCTCAGAATTCTGCTCAGGCAATAATCTTTTGCTTTATATACTATCAATGAATTAAAATGTATCTGTTACAAAGGAGGCTGCAAAAACTGCTCCGAGCAAATTAATAATGATATGGACTAAGGGGCTCTAATTACATTCAGGTAAGATTTGCAACCACAGCAGTTGGATGGTGAAAACCAGGAGGCTTCCAGAATAATTCACATCAAGATCATTAAAACCCAGCAGCTCTGGAACTTCACAAATGGGCCATGAGCCCACCCTGGCGGTATGTAAAACTGGCGGCAGGGTAGCAGGACCAGGAGGAATGTGTAGTTTCTCCAACATATGCCACCAGTCTTGGTGTGCAGGCTTCAGAGCCTACTTCCTGGGGACTGGCATTTGAGGCTTCGGGGCACTCCCTAGCTAATTACTTTAAGGTGTCTGAATGAATGAACCACAAATCGAAACGGGGGAGCACAGCTGAAAAGAAATCAGTTTGGACTCACGAAATGAATGGCCCCTCAAAATGAGGGAAATTTTCTCTTCCACTTTTTATAGTATTTCATTTGGAGAGGGGACACGGTGGACAAGGGACGGGTCAGGCGTCCGGGGTGCAACCTAGCAGTGCCACCAATCTGCTGCACAGTATGGGCAGGTCGTTCTGGGTCTCAGTTTCCCCAGAGTCCCGGCCGCCTCGGGTGCGCGCCCGCGTTACCTGCAGCTCGGCCCGCAGCCGCTTGTTCTCGGTGTCCAGCTTGGCCTCGCGGCGGCCCATGGACAACAACTCCTGGTTCTTGCTGACCCGGAAGATCTCGTACTCTTTCTTGAGCCGCTCGTACTCGGCCGCTGAGTACTCCAGCTCCGGCACCGACGAGCCGGTGGACTTGAAGCTGGCGCCCAGTAGCCCGCCGCTGCCCGCCGCGCGGGGCAGTGACCCGGGCCCGGCCGCCGCCGCCACCCCCGCCCCCCGGCGGAACGAGTTGCGCAGCAGGCGGGCCTTGGGCTTCACCTCTACCGGGATCTCGCAGGCCTCGCCGCCGCCAGCCCCGTAAGTGTCCTCGATCACCTCTCCGCCCGCGGGGCTCACCAGGGACGAGGCTGTCCCCATGGCGCCAGGGTCCACCGCAAAGCGTCTGCTGGGTACCAGGAGGGGGCGGGACAGGAGGAGCGGGGCGGAGCGGGGCGGGGCAGTGGGGCGGGGCTGGACAGCGGGGCGGGGCTGGACAGCAGGGCGGGGCTTGTCAGCAGGGCGGGGCTTGTCAGCAGGGCGGGGCTGGACAGCAGGGCGGGGCGGGGCGGGACTGGAGGTGCAGGGCGGGGCGGGGCTGGACAGCAGGGCGGGGCAGCAGGGCGGGGCTTGTCAGCAGGGCGGGGCTGGACAGCAGGGCGGGGCGGGGCGGGACTGGAGGTGCAGGGCGGGGCGGGGCTGGACAGCGGGGCGGGGCGGGGGAGTGGGGCGGGGCTGGACAGCTGGGCGGGGCTGGACAGCAAGGCGGGGCTGAGCGGGACTGGAGGAGCGGGGCGGGGCGGGGCTGGACAGCGGGGCGGGGCATCCGCAAGGGCGGGGCAGAGGGGCGGGGTCAGCAGGAAACCAGGCTGTTCCGCAAGAGACGCGAGGGGCTAAGGCAGCAGGGCTTGGCAGCAGGATTGCGCCGAGAAGGGAAGGATTTTTCGGAGAGTGGTTGCAGGCGGTGGCGGGACAGGGAGAAGGACAGGGCGAGCAGCGGCGAACAGCTAGCTTCTTGGCTGCCAAATCTGACCAGTACTGTTACAGGGCCCAGCTGGACCGGCCAGCGGGACGTCGGGGCTGCTCTCTGATTCCTGTGCCCAAATTGAGGCTCCGTGGCAGGCAGACCGCACAGTGAGCACCGACCTGGATCTAGCTGCTTCACATCCGATGTTACTATTTCTGTCGCTGCTGTTGTCCCTCCTGACCATGGACTCCTTTCTGCAGGCATTTGGGAAATCTGAGAAATGGATTGAGCACCTATTATGTGCCTCTTGTGATGCCACCCCCCTACACCTTTTTTTTTTTAACTAGGGATTGAACCAGAGGTGCTTTACCACTGAGCCACATCACGATGTGTGTATCTTAGGATGCATGTAGATAGAATGTCCAGGAAGACACAGTACCAGCCAAGAAAGAACTTTTAGGTTTTAAAACCGGAGACCATTAGGGACAACCTTAGAGAAGGCCAGATTTTATAACTGTGGCAATAAGACATTGGGGACCATACATCAAAGGAACTGTGAGGCAACTCACCAATTAAAAATATAAAGAGTATCATAGTATTTGCAGGAAGGGTTGGATTTAAGGAAAGAGAGAGAGAGAGAGAGAGAGAGAGAGAGAGAGAGAGAGAGAGAGAAACTGCATTAGGTTGCTTAGAGAGAGGTTTGTTCCTATTTTCCTCGTTATTCTGTTTTGTGATTTTGACCCTCTTCCTGCTAAACTCTGCAGATTGGAATTTAGGATACAATGGAAAGGACCAGATGAGGGCAGGAAAGGTGGTATTTGTCACTTGTGAGCTGGATATTGTTGCTTTTTGGACTGGGTAATAAAGCTGGCTCTTTCTTTCTTAGGCAATTTTGTAAATTCTTCAAAATACCAGCCCCCCCTCTCCAGCCTGCCACCTCTCTCCCATTGCTTGAAGTCTTTAATTTTTTATTCTGTTGACCAGGGCTGATGTAATTTTATTCCAGCTATAAGGAATCCAGTAATACTTTAAGCATCCTCTCCATTAATGTCTGATCATTGGTCTTGGGTCCTCCTTGAAAAACTTTTAAGATAATCCATGCTGGTTCAACTATGGTACCCACCTGTGATCCACAGGTGTTGTGGGTCTGGTTTTCTGAAAAGCAGATCCTGAGATGGAGACAATTGTGCAAGAGTTTGTTAAGGTGTGCCCTTGGGATTAATGCTTGTGGAACGGAAAAGAAAGAAGCAAGATTGGTCAGAAGGAAAAGTCGAAGCTGTCCTGTGGTCTCAATGGGGACCTCAGCCAATCCTGTAGAAAGTTTTGAAACTGGGATGGCCATGCATAATTTAGTCCTAATTTGGGGGGGGGGAGGTCTGGAACTTTATCTCCAATTAGGCCAGTCTCCACTCTCTGTAGCTGATGGACATTGACAGCTGAGAGCTGTCTGATGGCAGGACTTCCAGTGGCTAGAGGTCAAATCCTTCAGACATCACATCTACCCCAAAGTAAACAACAGCCTTTTCCTCAAAGGACTCTGGGAATGCTGGCCAATTCTAATTCCCAAAGGACTCTGGGAATGCTGACCAATTCTAATTCAATTCTCTCCTTCACTCCCTCCTTCAAAGTAGTTGGTCCTTTCTTTGGCCATTTAGATTTTCTTCAGGCCATTGTGTTCTTCAGAATTCAAGGAAAATATAGTAATTTCTTCAGGTAGTCTCCCGAGAGAAAGGGAAATTTTCCATAGATCCTAAGAACCTTCTACCTTTTCAAATCTTTTCTGATCTCTAACTTCCAATGTCTGTACCCTCAATGTGGATCAGGGATTTAAGGATCATCCTGTAGGTTTCTGACCAATTCCTTTAATTTTTTTTGCATCTTAGTACTGCATCTGCTTTGGAATGTGTCTCAGCTGAAGACTGAGACTCTTGCATAATAAAATAGGCTTCACCTGTTTCCCCTAACCAAAAGGGATAAACTGCACCAACTACCCACAGTTCGTGGGGTAAGTTTAGATTCTGCAGTATGGGACTGAGTGCTCTGAAGCAATCATCTCTTCTTTACTCACCTCTTATCAATCTAGTAACATCTCTCTATGCATGTTTCTTCACCTCTGTCAGGCTAATTTTTTATTTTTTCATACTACTGTGTTTGGTTTCTATTTCAGTTCTCTCTGCCAACTCTCCATTCTTTCTCTAAGAAAGTTTCCTTAATAATCAGACTCTTTGAAAGTTTATCACATCAACAGTTGCAATTCAATAACCATTTCATACTCTGTGCTTAGCACTGTACTTGTTTCCTGACTCCGTTTTCCATTCATTGCATCTACCTTCTATGGATTTGGGGTTTGGGGTAGCTACTGTTATTGTTGTTATGCCATTTGTTGCTTTTGAGTATTTCTTGAGTACAAAATGTAGATCAAATGACTGATGTGTCTAAAGAGAGCAGTGTGGCCCCCGTTGTCAAACAAAAAAACAAAAAAGAAAAATGCATATGAACTGGTTGTCACAGATGTCTTTAATTTTTAAATGGCTTGGCAGACGCCCCAAAGCACAAATCTAGGTTTATCAAGAACCTGGAGATGTACCCCTATATAGTGATTACTGGTAGTCTTTCTTATCAGGTACCCTATGTATGATCCTGGATAACCACTTGTCAATGCTGAAGTGATCAAATCTGTGAGTGAGCTCAAAGGTTTTAGCCAACTGAAACTGCCAGCTAGTAAGCTCTTTAATAGGATGGTTGGTTTTCAGTGTGTTTTGTAATCCTGAAACATGACAGAGTTTAGTCTAATTTCCAATCTCATTATCTGTTTTTTTTTTCTTTATGTAAGGAGGTGAATTTAACCTACCTCCTTCACTTAGCTTTTTGAAAGGGTGACTTTGAACACAGAGATACAGTAAGGAATAAAATCTCTGGCAGGTGGTTTGTGACTGATTAAAAATGACTATAATTTTTTTTAACATTCCTCCAATTGAAAGGTGAAGTTTATGACTAGGACAGGCTACAATTTGTGGGACATGGTGCCAGATGAAAATGTAATGGCCCAAGTGTGGGACCCTGTGAGGTTGCATGTGGCGTTCTTCCTAGGGTTACCTGCCCACGAGACCAGTCTGTTTATGACTCCTTCTTGAATCTGAGCTTGTAGTGGATTTGACCATAGACTATGGCAAAAGTGATACTGTTTCTGAGGCCAGGTCCTGAAAGGACGGCAGTTTCATTTCTAGCACCTTGGAACATTGGGAGCCTTGAGCCACCACGTAAAGAAAACTATAATCCTGAGCCTGCAAGATTGGAAGGGTCATGTATGGGCATCCCCTAGTGACAGTCTCAGATGAGCCCAATCTTCCAGCCACACTTACCAAGACACATGAAAGAAAGCCATCTTGGACTCTTTAGACTGGCCCATTCACTAGCTGGATGATGAATGATTTTAGTATACACCACAGGGAACAGAATCATATAGCCAACCTCTACCTGAACATCTGATCCTCAACATCTTGAGATATCATAAAATTTCCATTGGTCTAAGCCACTGAACTTTGGAGTAATATTTTCTCATACCTGGAACAAGAAAAAAAAATTTCCTAAATTTAATCTGGGTAGCTTATAAAATTAATGAACAGTGCTGTTACCTTTTAAAAATGTAACTTGCAGGATAAGTATCACTTGTGTGTTTGGTCCTCAGGCTATGAATATCAAAATTATTTGGGACAATCCTTACAAATTGAGATACAATGAATTTTAATTTCTGAGACTGGAGCTTTCAAATTTGCTTTAAAGTGATATTTATGTATTTTAAGTTCTCAGAGCCACTGGGATTGCATCAAAATTGTGGCCAGGAATGATCTAATTCTTTGCTACTGAAAGTGTGGTCCACAAATGGCACGATTAAGCATCACCTTGGTGCTTGTTAGGTGTCAGATTCTCAGATGCCATACCAGACCTACTCAATTACAACTTGCAGATTAAAATGGTGCCCCCCATCCAGTGATTTGAATAGATATTAAAATTTGAGAGACACTGCTGGAGAATGATTCTTAACCTTGGTTGCACAATACAGTCACCTGGAGGACTTAAAAAAATGAAGACACCCACCTGGGCCTCACCCCAGATCATTTATATCAGAATCTCCAGGGGCTGGGGTCTGGCTATCATTTTTTTGGTTTTGTTTTTGTTTGTTTTAAAGCTCTGCAGAAATTTTTAATCAGTAATCAAGGCTGCAAACCAATGATCTCACCTCTGTCATCTGTCTTCTTACCAACACGTGTGCGGACGGTCCCCTTTGGTAAGTATCTGGGAGTGTTTTTTTTTTTTTTTTTGTGCACCCAGATTCCTGTTTAACTTTTTTCATTTCATTATAGTTCACCTTAGGAAAGGTACGTGTGATTTTGACCTTATCAAGAGCATTGCATTTCAACT